AATCTATATGTCCATTCTTTCACTAATACTATATTATCTTGATTACTGTAGCTACAGAATCAGTTTTGAAGTGGGATAGTGTCAGTTCTACAATTTTGTTGTTGCCTTTCAGTATTGTTTTAACACTTTATATTTTTGCCTTTCTTTATAAACTTTAGGAAAAGTTTTTTCATATATCGATAACATCTTGCTAAATTATGATTGGGATTGCATTGAATCTATAGATCATATTGACATCTTGACAGTATTATTTCTGTCCAAGAACAAGAATTTCTCAATGTTTATTCAGTTCTTCTTTGACATAATTTATCAGAATTTTGTAGGTTTCTCATATAGATAATGTATATGTTTTGTTAGATTTATATCTAAATAAACATATTTCAGTTTAGGGAGGTACCAATGAAAATGGGATTGGATTTTTCATTTCAAATTCCACTTCATTGCTGGTTTATAGAAAAGTGATTATCTTTTGAATATTAACCTTGTATCATCCAGCCTTACAATAACAGTTTGTTATTCCAGGAGGTTCTTTGTTGATTCTTTCAAACTTTCTACATGTCATGTCATCCATGAACAAAGACAGTTTCATTTCTTCCTTCCAAGCCTGTATACCTGTTTCCTTTACTTGTCTTGTTGAACTAAGCAGTACTTTCAGTTCAGTGTTAAAAAGCAGTGTTGAGAATGACACCCTTAGTTTAATCCTGGCTTTAGGGACAAAGTTTTGACTTTCTCATTGCTAAGTGTGTTAGCAATAGGGTTTCTTGGGGGGTAGATATTGTTTATTGTGTTGAAGAAGTTCATCTACATTCCTAGTTTACTGAGAATTTTTCTTTAAATTATGAATGGATTTTAGATTTTTTCTTTTTAAAATTTTATTCAAAGAGAAAAAAAACAAAACAGAAAAAGGGTAGAAATAACACATAATTTCAAAAAAATTAACAATAAGAAATCACTAGTAGGTAAATTACATATTGTCCTCTTAAAAATAGTTGCTCAAGTTACAAAATTAAAAAATACAAAGTGGACATTCAAACAATGAGACTGCAAACAGTTCTGTTCAGTGACCCAACAAAAACTTAGTAATAAGGTTATCAAACCTACACACTTAAACATACACGTAGTTACATCCTTTAGAGCACTTCCTTTTCCTCTTTTTTATAATAGCAATTACACATTTTGGGTTTTAATACTCCTACATTTCTTATTACTTTTGACATTAGAGGCACAATGTGATATTTATACATATGATTCTTGTTTATTTCACTTATGAGAATAGCCTCAAGTTGCCTCCATTTACCTATGAAGGCCTAAAGATCATCCTCTTTATAGCTGAGTAATATTCTATTGTATAAAAATACCATATCTTTTTCATCCACTCTGAGGTTGATGGGCATCTTGGTTGTTTCCAACATTAAGCTATTGGAAATTGTGTTGCTGTGAACATGGGTGCACATATATCACTGTGACATGACCTTTTCAGGTTTTTTGGGGAAAATACCCAAGAGTAGAATAGCTAGATTGAATGGAACTTCCAATCCTAGTCCTTCTGAGGAATCTCCATACTGATTTCCATAGTGGCTGCACCACTCTGCACTCCCACCCAACAGTGGAGCAGTGTTGCTTTTTCCCCACAGCCTCACCAACGTTGGTAATCAGTTGATTTATTGAGGGCAGCTATTCTTTCTGGAGTTAGATGAAATCTCAGTGCTGTTTTAATTTTCATTTCGCAAATGCCCAGTGATGGTGAATGTTTCTTCATGTATTTATTTGCTATTTGTATATCTTCATCTGAGAAATGTGTGTTCATCTCAGATGCCCATTTTTGGAGAGGATCTTTGAATTTTGGGGTTTGATGTTTTTCAATTCTTTATATGCTCTGGATGTAAGTCCTTTGTCTAACGGGTTGCTGGCTATAATTCTTTCCCATTCTGTGGGTTTTCTTTTCACCCTGTTGGTGATTTATTTTGAAGTGCAGAAACTTTTCAATAATATGAGATCCCAGTTGTTGATTCTTTGAAGTGTTTCCTGTGCAGTTTGCGTTTTCTTCATGAATTCTCTGCCTACCCCTATGTCTCCAAGATTTCTACCTACCTTGTCTTCCAGTAGATTTAGTGTTTCTGTTTTAATATTTAGGTCTTTGGTCTCTTTAGACATTAGTTTTGTGCATGATGATAGGCATGGATCTAGTTTGTCTTTGGCATGTGGAGAGCCAATTTTTCCAACAGCATTTATTAAAAAGGCTATCCTTCTTCCAGTGAACATGTTTAGCTCCTTTGTCAAATATCAGGTGGCTGAGTGTCCTTGTAGTTGTGTTTGCATTATCTAATCTGTTCCATTGATCCTCAGGTCTATTTCTTTGCCAGTACCATGCTGATTTTATCACTGTGGCTTTGTAGTACAGTTTCAAGTCAGGAATTGAGATGCCTCCTGTCTTGCCTTTGATGCCCAGAATTGCCTTTGCTATTATAGGTTTCTTTTGTTTCCAAATGAATTTTAGGAGTGTTTTCTCTATATCTGTGAGGTATGTTGATGGTATTCTGATTGGGATTGCGTCAAATCTGTATAACAGTTTTGGAAGTATGGCCATTTTCACAATGTTGGTTCTTCCTATCCAAGAGCAAGGAATATCCTTCCATTTTCTAATATCCTCTTCAAGCTCCTTTGTTAGTGTAGCATAATTTTCAGCATATAGTTCTTTTACATTCCTAGGTTGATTCCTAAGTATTTCATTTTTTAGATACTATTGTGAAGATTAATATTTCCATAATTTCTCTCTCGGTGAGTTTTTGGTTTTTGTGTACAGGAATGCTATTGATTTTTGGGCACTGACTTTGTATACAGCTACACTGATGAATTTGTTTATTACCTCTAGTAGTCTTTTAATGGAGTTTTTTGGGTCTTCTGTATATAGCTATAAATTGTCATATTAAGAAAACAGAACGAGCACAAATAAACAACCTAATGCTTCATCTCAAGCTTCTAGAAAAAAAAGAGCAAGTTAAACTGAAAGCTCAGAGGAAAGAGGAAATTGTAAAGATTAGAGCATAAATCAATGCAATTGAAACTAAAAAAAAATACAAAGAATTAGTGAATCAAAACTGTTTTTTTGAGAGAATAAACAAAGTTGACAAACCTCTAGCTAACCTTATCAAGAAAACGAAAGAAAAAAACCCAAATTCATGCAATAAGGAGTGAAAAGAGGGAAAGTACTACAAATCCCATGGAAATTCAAAAGATCATGAATACCTACTTTGAAAATCTCTACTCACAAAGAGTGGAAAACACAGAAGAAGTGGACATGTTTCTAGAAACGTATGAACTACCAAGAAGATACAGCAATTTTGAATAGCCCAGTATCAGCTATTGAAATTGAAAACATAATTAAAAATTTACCAACAAGGAAAAGCCCAGGTGTTGATGGATTCGCGGCTGAATTCTACAAGAAATTTAGATAAGATTTGATGCCAATAGTCCTTACACTCTTCAGTGAAATTGAAAAGGAAGCAATCCTTCCTAAATCATTCCTGGAGGCAAGTATTACTCTCAAACCAAAACCAGAGAAAGACCCAACCAAAAAGGAGAACTATAGGCCAAGCTCACTAATAGACATAGATCCAAGATTCTCAATAAAATACTGGCAAATAGGGTGCAGCGAATCATCAAGAAGATTATACATTATGACCAAGTGAGATTCATTCCAGAAATTCAGGGATGGTTTAACATATGCAGATCAATAAACCTAATACTCCACATCAACAGAGCCAAAAACAAAACCAACCTGGTCTTCTTACAATAGATGCAGAAAAAGCTTTCGATAAAGTCCCAATACATGTTCATGATAAAACCCCTTCAGAAACTTGGAATACACTATGTCTACCTCTGTCTTATAAAGGCCATCTATGACAAACCAACAGCCAACGTTATACTGAATGGACAAAACTGAAAGCTTTCACTTTAAAATCTGGATTTTAGACTTTGTTAAATGCTTTTTCTGTATATGTTGAGATGATTGTGGATTTTTCTTTTGGTGTGATGAAATATGTTGGCTAGTTTTCAAATTATTTTTCTGTATTGTTAAATTAAATTTATTGTTAATATTTTGTTGAGGCCTTGTTCTGATGAGCCTTTGTCCTACCCAGATTTAAGACTCCCTTGGCCCTCCATAATTATAAATATGCCTTAGTGTCTTTATTCTCACCATGGATTGCACTGGAATTGGTAGATTAAAATCAGCTCGCTAGAATTGCAATAACTTTTCCATGGAATTACAAATAGAGACTTACTGGAGCATGACAAGTGCAGAAAAGGAATCTCTATACACTTTGTTTTGTTGTTCACTACAAGGAATATGTCAGACTTTCCCGCCTCTCCTCTCAAGTCTACCTGCCAATCTCTAAGCTCCTGTAATCAATGAAACAAGCATTTGGTAATTACTTGCTGTTGTGGTTTAGATGTAGAATGCCCCCCAAAGGCCTCACATCTTCAAAAGGGACTTTGAGGGAGGTGGCTTACTGGGGCATGGTCTGGGAGGATCCGCCTCCTTCTCTAGCTCCTTCCTTATTTGTTTGTTTTCTGGACACCATGACACAAGTAGTTTTTTTTCCTTTATGCTCCTCTGCCATGCCATTCTTGTCTTAGAGCTAGCCAACCACGCAACACTGTGAACCATGAAAGCATGAGCCAAAATAACCCTTTCCTCGTTTAAGTCACGGGTGTCCGGTATTGTGTCTCAGTAACAAGAAAGTGACTGAGATGCTTGCTATATCTCTTCCTCATTCACAGAGAGATGTGAAGCCATCAAATAGAAACTTCTTCAAAATCTGGTCTGATTTTCTGTCAGGGAATGGGGTTCTGATTGCCCAGCCACACTCAATTACGGGCCCATGTGTGGAAATCACATGTTATGTTTCTCTACCTCTCTGGAGCTGCACACAGGCCTTGAGGTGTAGAGAAACTTGGACACTGGTTTCAATTGATGATGTCCATCTTGTTTCTTGCAGCTGATGTAGAAAATCGATCCTTAAGATACCGAGACAAGCGGCTTAGTTTAAATTTGGTAAGTTTGGCACTTGGGTTACTTTAATCTCCCATTTAAGCAAAAATAGCTGGTCCCATATGTTTTTTTCTGTAGTTCTATTGAGGTTTTTTACTCGGATCTGTGCCTATCTTTCCAGTCTCACTTTAAACCTTAAATGGTTTTGGGGAACTCCTGGACTTGGTTCCAGAAAGACTCTGTGAATTCTAATGGCCAAGATATCTGTCTACCTGAGTTGCCAGTTAAGCCCAGGTTGGACCTAAAGCAGTTGCATAAGTTCATAAGCCTCAGTTTTCCAAAAAGCTAAGAAAGGAGACTTAGCACCTATACTCACACATTGGGTCCAGAGACAGAACTTGGTTAGGGCTTGTCCTACTTCCCTGGGGAAGTTCAGAGTTATTCTTGGGAAATTTGGAATCCAAACAATATGCACCACTTCAGTGCCCCCTTTTAGCGGTTTCCATGACTAGTGTGCCGTTCCAAACCTGTACCCATTGTTTTATAGCCTTGTAGGTGCTCCCCAATGTACCCCACAGCTATAGCCAGCGCTGAAGACAGCTACATACCCATGAGCCCCCAGGCCATGGCCTCTAGTCTTGGCCCCCTCTGCAGCCAAGATGACTACATCCCGATGAACTCAGGAAACATCTCAAGCCCACTGCCTGAGCTACCTGCAGACTTGGAACCTCCCCCAGTGAATAGAGATCTCAAGCCTCAAAGGAAACGTAAGGCACTTGAGCAGGCCTGCTGTGTGTGGGAGACCTAAGGCTTATTGGGCAGGAATCATTAAAGACACAATCCCAAAGGAGTACAAAGTACAAGGGCAAGAAAGAAGTGGCTGGGATACAGCGGGAAGGGTGGGAGTGCCTTGCTGCTCCATAATGTTTAGATCAAGGGAGGTAGTGGACTTGTCAGATGCTATGGTCCTGCAGATGCAGCCTACAAATCCAGCTTTATTCCAGAGGCTCCCCTTTGACTGCTTCTCTAACAAAAGCCTAGGAATAAGTGAGGATGAATCAGAAGTGAGGATAGATCAGAATGGAACCCATCTGACATCCTCATTTAGACAACACTTGAATAGAATCACAGTGCCAGGCTTCTGGCCTTTGAGTCATGTCCTGCATGCCCTGAGCAGCAGTGACTGAGGACAGGAGAGTACTTAGGCAGTGAGCAGCCTGACTCCTGTACACCCAGAACACTTACAGCTTCTGCTATCACCTGGTAGTCTTGCTGGTCTGCTAAGCAGCGTGGACAGACAGGGAGATAGAATAAGAGGGAAAGAGAAGAGGCAGGGTGAAGTGGTGGACTCAGAGATAGGCGAGGTCAGGTAGTGAAGCTGGTAGGTGCCTGCTGTTGAACCGGACAATGGGGTGTTGTGCCCTCAGGAGAAACCAGGAGCTCCATGATTCACAGGTCTTTCTGGCCCAGTCACTTTTCAAGACCCAAGCTATCTGGAAAACAATTGACCATTGGGAAAGTCACTGTCCTGTCACTCTGGTAACATGGAGGGGAATTAAACCATCATCTAATGGCAGAAGCAGCTGGAAGGGCTCCTGAGGCCTCTCTAGATGCCTAGGGTATTGTGGTGAACTGACAAATAAAACCCTGGCTTCCTGATGCATAGTCCAGAGTTGAGTCAAATACTCACAGACGAATGTTTCATCACAGCCTGGGGGAAAAGCCATAAACCTGTGAGGCCTGTAATATGGGGTCTGATCTTGTCTGGAGTTCAAAGAAAGAATCCCTATGCAGAGGACAGTGAGCTGGGATGTAAAGAAGAATAACTGTACATAGATACAGGGAACAGCATTCTAGGAAAAGCCATCGAGTGGGCAGTGATCTGGAGTTGGGGAGCCTAGAACCTGGTGATCATCTCTGCCTCTCAGACATGTCAAGTGTGAGGTAGGCATTGGGATTTCTGCAGGGCAGAGACTGCGGTCTGTGTCTCCAACACATAGAACTGTGCCCAACAGGCAGTAAGTTCTCAATAAATGTGTGTTGACTAAATATATAGCCTCTTTTCATTACCTCCTGCAAGGACAGAGACTATTGGCTTGATACTTGTTCTTACTTCCCAGGAGTCAGGAAAAGTAGGAAAGTGAAATTCGCTCTCATCAGTGGTGCTTCCCGTTAGTAAAGTGGATTCAGTGTGTTAGAAAAGTGGCATGTCATTGTTTCACAGTCTGCAGATTTTGGCCTGAGAACTAACCACGGTGCATGTGGTGCTCTGTCTTGTAGCACGGCCCCCACCGCTGGACCTGAGAAACCTCTCCATCATCCAGGAGCACACATCTCTGACCAGGACCTGCACTGTGCCTTGGTAAGCAAAGCTGCTGTTTGCCAAAGTGGCCCAGACACCTCTAGTCTTACCTAGCCTGTTTGGAGTGGATGTCTGCTTGATGTTAAGTAAGTCAAGGGAAGGCCTGAGTTTTCTATCATTAGCCAGAAGTTGTTTAAAGATTACAAAGAAAGAAATGTGACTGGGATTACTGGAAGCAGGAAATAGGGTGCTACGGGGACCTCAAAATATTTTCTCTCTCTTTTTCTCTCATCTGCCTCACCATTCACATCTGCTCATTCCTTAGCCTTTCAGAACTCTTTTCTTTGTTCTATGATCCCTATTGACCAAATTGTACTGTAGCTCCTGAGCTGGTCGACACAATTCAATTGCAGTGTCAATAAGGATGGACTCTTTTTCAGTTCCACCTCAGATTTCCTGAGAAGATGCAGTTATGCAGCTGCAGCCTGACTGGAATCGACTGTGGCCCAGGGATTGGGCCCAGGACTTCCAGGCAGACATCCTGAAGGCCGATTTTGTGTCTATATTCTTCCATCTCACCTTGTAAGAAATTGCGTTTTCAGAGTGCTGAGGCTGGCCCCGGAGTTTCCTGGCTCACTCTACAAGCCACAGAACATAGTCACTTTTAAAGCAAAAGCTTGCAATAACCTGTATTTCTCAGAAATCTGCGAAGACACTCAGGCTTTGCTTCTGACTCAAGAGTAGGATAGAAATCAAGTACTAGTTCTTGTTTTTATCCTATCAGAGGAGTGGATGCACTGTCTTACTTTTCCTGGACACTGTCAAAATAAGAGGGCCCCAGAGAAGTGTTTCATTTTTGCTTTTGTTTTTTGCTAAATGATATGATGTTTCAGTCTTGTTTCTCAAAGCTGTGAGCTGTGTGATATGGAAGGCCTTGGGAAAAGCAACTAGAGCTGTGTGTGTGCTCCATCATGGTACAGGGCTGCCAGGCAGTCTGTTTCTTTAGGACTTGTTGGGCTGGATAGAAGTTGTGTTTGGAGGGGTGGAAGCTGAAACCCCACAGGGCTCTGTCAGTTCTTGGCTGCCTTTCAGAGCAGCTGTAAAACATTGCTTTGACCTCATCTGTATTTTTGTTTTTAGCAATCGAACCAGTTTTCTCGCTCCAGAAAGAAATGGTATTAACTCTGCAAGATTTTTTGCCAATCCTATTTCCAGAGAAGAGGAGGAAAGCTACATTCAAATGGTAATCCCATATCTCTATGTCTTTTTTCTTCCCCCAGACTATATTGTTGTGAGTTAATTATAAAGAAAATATGCCCCTCAAAAATCTCTGTGCAATCTTAAAATGATCACTTGATTGTAAAACCAGGTCACAGTGTTTCTACTTGGGAACAAATCCACTTGAAGCTGGTTTTCTTTCCTGAAGTAGTCAGCTAATCATACTGGTTTTTTCCAGTGTGAAATCATACTGTTTTAAGGCCATAGCATTTCATGAGAACCTGGGGCTGAGCCCTGTGCTGTGGGAAAATGGAAATGGTAACAGTTCTTTTCACCAAGACTATAGTGTCTTGCTTGACCATAATATCTTTGTATGTCCCTGGATGTTCATTGTCTGGGATGTAAAACTGCACATATTGGATGCTTGCTTTTACCAGAACCATTTCTGTTGTGTGGCAGCCTCTGGAGATGCCCGTGATGGGCTCTTTCTGTAGCCCATGGTGGACAGAGACCTGGCATTGCCATTAACGATTCATAGTTCAAAAGCCCCAAAGTCTCCCTCCTGCCCTGTTGTCCCTTTTGTTCTCTTCCTCTTGCATGGTGTTGAGAGCATGCACTGTTGATGATGCTGTTTGGCACTTCTAGCCATTAGTGGGCACCTTGGCCCATTATCCAGTTCAGAACCATGGGCAACTCTGGAGGGAACTTGTGCATGAATTGTGAAAGGTGATGCTCAAGATACTGTGACATACACTCTTCAGAAGGATAGAAGGCAGCTGAAAATAAAAATGATAATCTCCAGTGAAGTCATCATTCAGTGCACTCTTTTGCCTTTTTATTTGATAAAAGTTGTTCTGTAAGCGCACTTAACCATATGCAGATGGAAAGTGACTCATACACAAATATGCTGTGGTCTTCCTAACATTTCTCACACTTTGTAATGACCCATGGGAAACTTGTAGGAGAAAACACTCCTATAAAGGATGCTGAACAGCTGTGTTCTGTCTCCAGAGAACAGAAAAGGGAAGTGGACCTAAAATCTAATACAAGCAAGTGCAGAGTCATTTCAGACACCAGCAGTTTCTTTCTGATCTTTCAAGTTGTGGGAAAGACCATTATTTCATTAACAGCACAGTTAGGGATTGATGTTTGCCTGCGTTTGCAATCACTGGTCAGTGACTGTGTGCATTGTTAGGCAATACAGCAGTTGAAGAACCAGGAACACTGGCTGAAGGCAATGTCAGCAAATTGCCATGTAAAAATATTTAAAGTCTATCTTATGCTGGGCATGGTGGTACACACCTGTAATCCCAGCATTCTATGAGGCTGAGACAAGAAGATCCCAAGTTCAAGTCCAGACTAGGAAACTTAATGACTTAGCAAGACCTTGCCTCAAAATAAATAGATACACAGGTAGATAGATATATAAGGCGCTGGAGTGTGACTCAGTACAAAGGCCTTGGGGTTTTATCTCATTCAATTCTTTGTATTTTTTTTTAACTTCAGTAGTACAATAGTCTCAAATGAATTGGACCTGCATTACTTCTTTGTGCCACAGAACAGCCTGGTATGGTGGTCAGAAGTAATATGGTTTCATTTTGATTACACATAATCATGTATATTGATTTTTCCCCTCTTTGCAAAAAAAAATCTGATCTGATTGTAAAAATTAAGGCCGGGGACTGAAATATATTTGTTCTATTGATATACAAGTCTTATTGGATATCCTTCTTTAAATGTTTATGAAATTATAGAAAATTTCAAAGATTGAATATAATATTAGCATACGTGATTTCTTCTCTCGCCATTTTTCAAACTGTAATTCCAATAGTTTTTGTTTTTTGGGTTTTGCTTGTTTGTTTGTTTGAGACAGGATCTCACTAAGCCGTCCAGGCTAGCTTTGAATTCACTGTGTAGTGAAGGCTGACCTCAAAATTGCAGTGATCCTCTTGCCTCAGCCTCCCAAGTGCTGGGATTAGAGATGTGCACCACCACACCTGGCTCCAATAGTTTCATAAGGCTTTTATAGTAGAATTCTACACTCTTACATCTCAAATTAATTTATGTTATAAAATTTACTCTAATTATGCAGGTCTGATAGTTTGAACACATATAGATTTGTGTAGCCACCACTACAATTAGAGCACAAAAGCTTTCCAGAGTACTTCTTCATGACCCCTGATGGCACTGATCTCTTCTTCATTACAGTTTTGTCTTTTCAAGAGTGCCATGTGAATGGAATCACACAGAACCTTTTCAGGCACCTTTATTTTACTTAGAACAAAGTCTGAAAATTTCATCAGTACATATGTCCATAGTTCTTTCTATTTAATTGCTGCATAGTACTCTACCATGTGGGTGGCCATGTATTGTTTGTCTTCCCACCCATTGAAGGACATTGTTTCAAGTTTTGGGAGCAGTTAGAACTATTACAAACATTTCGTTTACAACACCTAAAATATTTTACTGTAGTAAGATATATGTAACATCAAATTTACCATTTTAGCCATTTTAAGTGTACAATTTAGTGACATTAAATACATTTGTAATGTTGTATAACCATCACCACTGTCTATTTTCAGAACTTTTTCATCATCTCAAACTCAGATCTTGTACCCATTAAACATTAACTTTCCTTTCCATCCCTGGGAATTTGCCTATTCTGGATGCTTCATAAAAGTGAGATTGTGCAGTATTTGACCTTGTTTCATCTAAGATTCATGCACATGGTAGAATATAGTAGAATTTCATTCCTTCAGACTGACATCTTATAGTGAATTGTTTACCCACTCATCTGCTGGCTATCATGAATTATGGTGCTATGAACATGGTATACAAGTATATGTTTGGTTCTTGCTTTCAGTTCTTTTGGATATAGACCTAGAATTGGACTTGTTACATCATGGTAACTATGTTTAATTTTTTGATCACCCACCAAACTTGTCTTCCACAGCATCCTTCCCATTTTATAGTCCTACCAGCAATGCACAAGTGCTCCAGCTTCCCAACATCCTCACCAACACTTGTTACCTCTCACCATTTTCTTCATAATCTATCTTCATGGATGTGTTTTCTTATTTGTGTTTCAGTATGCTTATTATGTAAGTGCCTTGCCTATTTCTTAATTGAATTGTTTGGTTTTTGTTGTTGTTGAGTTGTAAGAGTTTTACAGTATGAGTATAAACCCCTTATCAGATGTATGATTTGCAAATATTTTTCCCATTCTGTAGCACATGCTTGCGCTTTCTTGTTCTCTCTCTCTGTCTCTCTCTTCCTCTGCTTCAGCTCAAACTCAAGGCCTTGTGTTTGCTAAACAAGCATTCTACCACTAAACCTCCCATTCAGCCTCATTTTCACTGTCTTTCAATTATCTTTTTTGAGGGGGCGTACTGGGGATAGAACACAGGGCCTTTACACTGAGCTGCATTGCCAGCCCTCTTCATTTTGTATTTTGAGACAGATTCTAAAGATTGGGCTTAAATTTGTGACTCTACGGCCTCAGCCTTACCCTTTTCTGCTCTCATGATACTGTCCATTGGTGCACAAAAGTTTTTAATATTAATGAAATCAGACTTATCTCTTTATTGTCTTGTTTTTTGTGTCACATCCATTAAAATTATTGCCAAATTCAATATCAAGAAAATGTTGTCCTGTGTTTTTTTCTAAGAATTCTATAGTTTTAGATCTTATGGTTAGGTCTTTGATCTTTTTTAAGTTAATTTTTATATATGATGTGAGGTTAAGAGTCCGGTTTTATCTTTTGGAATGTGGACTTCCAGTTTTTAAGAACCATTTTCTGAAAAGACTGCCATTTCCTGCTTAAATAGTCTTGGCATCCTCATTGAAGTTGACCACATACACAAGAGTTGATTTCTGGACTGTATTATATTCCATTGGTTTCTACATCTATCCTTATGACAGTGTCATACTGTTTTCATTACTGCTGCTTTGTAGTAAGTTTTGAAATCAGAAAATATGTAACCTTCAACTCTGTTTTTCTTCTTCAAGATTAAAATTCAGTTACTCAAAGTCTTTTAAAATATTACATGAATTTTAGGATAGGATTTTGTATTTCTGCAAGAAAAAATACCATTTACATTCTGATAGGGGATACTTCAGTTCTGCAAATTGTTTTGGGTAGTATTGTCATCTTAACAATATTAAATCTTCCAATAAATTGACATTGATATCTTTCTATTTATTTATGTCTTCTTTGCTTTCTTTCAGGGATGTCATACAATTTTCAGTATACAAGTTTTGTCTTCTTAGTTAAATTGATTCTTAAGTATTTTATTGTCTCTTGCTATTTTAAAGCAAATTATTTCTTTAATTTCTTTGGGGGATTTCTTTTTCTTGTAGTATTGGGGATTGATCCCAGAGCCACTTTCATAACTACTTGATTTTTTGGTATTGTTTTGAGTTCTTTATATATTTAAAATATTGATTCTGTGCCAGAATAATAGCTTGTAAATATTTTGGGCAGTTTGGTAGACTGTTTCTTCACCTTTGAATGTTTCCTTTAGTGCACAGAAGCTTTTTAATTTGATATAGTCCCGTTTGTTGGTTCTTTCTAGTCTAGTACTGTTCAAGATGTTTTGTCTGCTTATGATTTCAAGTGTTTCCCCTATTCTTCTAGTGGTTTAAACAGTTCAGGTCTTATATATTGGCTTTGGATCTATTTTGAGTTGATTTTTGTACAGAGTGAGGAATAGGGGTCTAGTTTCAATGTCTTACGTGTGGATATCTAGTTTTCCTGGTATCATGTGTTAGACACTGTCTTTTCTCCAATGCATACTTTTGTCCAGAATCAGATGGTTATAGTTGTGTGGGTTTCTGTGTTCTCTGTTCTATTCCATTAGTATATGTGTCTATTTTGTGTCAGTGACATATTGTTTTTGTTACTGTGGCTTTGTATTATAATTTGAAATAGAGTATTGTGATACCCACTGCTTTTTTTCTCTCAGGATTGCTTTGGTAGTTTGGGTCTCTTCTGCTTCCTTATGAATTTTAAAATAGTTTTTCTTAGTTATGTAGAAATTGTTGTTAGTCTTTTCAAGGGGATTGCATTAAATCTATAAATCACTTCTTACTGTATTTTTTTTGTGGTACCAAGAATTGAACTTACAACCTTGTGCTTCCCAGGCAGGGGCTTACATCACTGAGCTAAATCCCTGGCCCACTAGATCACTTTTTATCTCCATTTAACACCATTAATTTGACTGATCTATGAACATGCTGTTCTATCTCTTGGTGTTCTCTTCAATTTTCTTCTCTAGTGTTCTATAAGTTTCACTGTAGAAATATTTCATCTCTTTGGTTAGGCTTATTCCTAAGGATTTATTTTTTGAGGCAATTGTGAGTGGAATTGTTTTCCTTATTTCTCAGAAGTTTCATTATTGGTGTTGATTTTGTACCCTGCTATTTGCTGCTTTTGTTTATCAGATTTAAAACCTTCTGGCAGAATTCTTTGAGTCTTCAAAGTAAAAGTTTATATCATCTGCAAACAGAGATAAGTTGACTTCTTTATTTTGTTTGCATCCCTTTGTCTTCTTTGGCCTAGTTGCCCTGCTAACATTCTAAGTCCTTGAATAGGAGTGGTTAGAATAGACTTGTCTCATTTTTTATTTTAGAGAAAATGCCTTCATATTTCCCTCATACAGTGTAATTTTGGCTACAGTCTTGTCATAAATAGCCTTTATTGTGATGAAGTATGAACCTTCCAACCTAGTTTCCTTTTTTTTTCTTTTTCAGAATATTTATTGGTATATGTTTTCAGTAACTAATGATTACATTCATGGTGGCAAAGTAGTATCAACCTAGTGGCATCAGAATATTTACCATGAATGGTTATTGAATTTTATTAAGGGCCTTTCTATCAATTGAGATGATCATGTGATTTTTAACTTTGATTTTATTTATTTTGAATTATTGCTTTGCACATATTGAATCATCCTTGTACTCCTGGAATGGAATCAACTTGATCATGATGTATGAACTTTTCAATATGTTGTTTAATTATGTCTGCAAGATTTTTGTATTTATGTTCATCAAGGATCTTGGACTGTAATTTTCTTTTTCTTTTCTCTCTCTGCCTCTCTGTCTCTCTCTCTCTCTGTGTCTCTCTGTCTGTCTGTCTGTCTGTCTGTCTCTCATTTCTCCAGTTTTGTTTTCAGGATGATACTGTGATTGTGGTGATGTTATGAATAGAATGAATTTGGACACTTACTTTCCCTTTATATTTCATGGATTCATTTGAGAAGCATATATGTTCATTCTTCTTTAAAGGTTTGGTATAATATCACAGTAAATCCTTCTGGTCCTGGGCTTTTCTTCGTTTGCAGGCTTTTCATTGATGCTTCAGTGTCCTTGCTTCTTATTATCTGTTTAGGTTTTTCTTCTTGCTTTAATCATGGCAGGTCATCTGTGTCTAAAAATTTATTTCTTCTAGGTTTTCCAATTCATTAGGACACGAGTATTCAAAGTAGTTCCTAATAATCCTCTGGACTTCAGTGGTATATTCTGTAATATTACTTTAGAGCTTATAAATTGGAACATCTCTCTTTTTCGTTTAAAAAGTTCGGCAAAGGGTTTATCAGTCTTGTTTATCTTTTCAAAGAACCTACTGTTTTATTTATTGTTTGCACTGTTCTTTTAGTCACTATTTCATTATTTTTCAACCCTGATCATTATTATTTCTTTCCTTCTGTAGCTTTTTTTTGTATTTGGTTTGTTCTTGTTTTTATAATACCCTGAGATCTCTCAAAATTTTTAAGTAGGTATCTAATAGCTATAAACTTCTCTCTTTCAACTGCCTTTACTGTATCCTATATATTCTAGTATTTTGTTTTTCTATTATCATTTGCTGATAGGATTTTAAAAAGTGTTTTACCCCTGATTTCTTCAATGACCTACTGATCATTCAGAAATATATTGTTCGACCTCCCTGTGTTTACATAGTTCCTATAGTTTCTCTTGCTATTGAATTCTGTTTTCATTCCATTATGATCTGATAAGGTACATAGTGGACATTTCAGGGTTTTTTTGTACTTGATAAGACTTACTTTATGATCTAAAATATGGCCTACTTTATAGAAAGTTCCATGAGCTGAGAACAATATATATTCTGTGTTTGCTGGATGGAATGTTGTATAGATGTCTGTTAAATCCATTGTCATGTCTTTGTTGATTTTTGGGGGGAAGGTCTGGATGACCTCTATTTATTGATGACAGTGGAATATTGAATTCATCCGTTACTGTGTTGGAATCTATGTCTCCCTTTATGTTAAATTGTGATTGTTTTATGAAATTGGGTTCACTGAAGTCTTGTGCATACGTATTTACAACTGTCTTGGTGGATTGTTTACTTAACAAATATGCAGTGGCACTCTTTGTTTCTTCTGACTAATTTTGGCTTGACATCTGCTTTGTTGGATGTGAGTATAGTTGCTCCTGCTGCTTTTGGAGACCATTTTCATGGAATCATCTCACTTTTAGTATGTACAGTATATGCATATGTAGGTGAGTTGTGTTTCTTGCATGCAGCAAAGAGTTCAGTCTAGGTTTTTAATTCAGTATGCCACTCTGTCTTTTAATAGGAGAATTAAAACCATTTACCTTTGGAATTTTATTGAAAGGCATGTACTAATTTGTGCTGTTTGTTATTGTTTTTGATGTTTATTTATTTCCTAATGTCCATTTATTAGTGTGTTTTAGTTTTGCGTGTAGTGTTCTTTTAAGTATCTTCTGTAATACTGCTTTAGTGGTCATGAGTTCTTTTAGTTTCTGCTTATCTTGAATATCTTTATTTATCCTTTAGTTCTCAGGGGTAGCTTTACTGGATATAGTAATCTAGGTTGGCAATTAGTTTCTCTCAAAACTTGAAACCCATTCCAAGCCTCTTGACCCCTAGAATTTCTGTTTTGACATCTGCTGTTATTTAGATTGGTTTCTCTTTATAAATGATGATCTGGCATTCTTTTCTTTTGCAATTTTCAATGTCATTTCTTTTCGCTGTGCTCTTGACATTTTAACTGTGGTGTGTAATTGGGGAGATTCTTTTCTGCTCATGCCTCTTTGCAGTTCTGAATGCTTCCTGTACCTGGATGTCCATGTCATTGTCAAAATTTTGGAATTTTTCTACTATTTCACTAAATAGATTTTCCAAGCATTTAGTCTGCATCTTGAGCCCCTCCTGTATTATGGTGACTTTTAAATTTGCCTTTTGAATCATATGGCAGAGATGTCACTTGTTTTTCTCATAATTTCTTATTTTTTATTGCTATCTAAATGTAGTAATACATCACCTTTATCTTTAAGCCCTGAGCATTTGTCTTGTGCTTGTTCATGCCTGCTGGTGAGGTTTTCTATGGAATTTTTTTTTGGCATATTGGGCTTCTCATTCCCAAAATTTCTGTTTATTTTGTTTCTAGAATCTCTAATTCTTTACTGATATGTTCTTTTACATCGTGCATTACCTTTCTTCCATTCTGCTGTTCATGTCTTCTTTGAGTTTGTTGATAATTTTTATAATCATTCTTTTGAATTATTTGGTATTTCATCTACTTTGATGTCATTGTAAACAGTTACTATGGAAGTAATAAATCTTGGGGGGGCATGTTACCTTGGTTTTTCATGTTTCTTATATTTCTATATTGAGATTTATCATTTTGATTGGATATGATTAACCACAGTCCTGTGATGTTTGATCCTAGGAGGAGTATCAAACAGCCAGCTCTCTGAACAGTGGTGTTTTTCCCTGGACAAAGAAATTGAGCCTGGATTATTTGGCCCTAGACTTCAATTCAGCATCACCAGCCCCCATACAGCAGGTAGGAAGGATTTTGTCCTGAGAATTCTCAGGTGATTTTATTTATGCTTGGAGTATTTTGATTACTAAACCACTTATGTTCTCTTGAGAAGGCCTTAGAAATACAGACATGTATCATAAACAGTATTAAAATCAACCCTAATCCAACCTCTCAGAATGAATGAAATCCTGATGTATTTCCTTTACAGTATGTTCTTTGCATACATGTATGTAAATAGATATTATAATAACACTCTTCAAACTTTGGACCCAAAGGTAATAGAAACCAAAAGATAATAGAAACATTTTCAAATGGTGATGAAGTTGTACACAAGACTCTCCAGGCATGGGAAATTCCTGTTTAGGGAATGACATACAGCCTAGTTTGGCCAGACTTTATCAAGTGTTAAAAAAAGCTCCAAGTTGAAGTAGAACCCCTCAGTAAAGAGCCTTGAATGCCAGGTTGAGCATTTTCAACTCCTTTTGGTAACATTTATACCTGTAAATCAGGGATTAGAAATAATAACATCTACTCAAGGACTGTTGTAAGGATTGATGGAATTAATACTCATATGTGATGCTAGTCTTTAACATATTTCACAGTGTAGGCATGGAATGAATGAGTGAATGAGTGGTAAGTGGTTGGTTGACAGTTTTGAACAAGGAATGGTCACTACCTATACTATGTCTACAATGTATTGTTTGGTGAAAAAAAAAAGCTCACGAAATACAAAGTATAATCTGATTCCATTTATGCGTTTGTGTGGATAGAGTGCTGTGTAGAAACTCCTCTGGAAGACTTCCCTCCTATTTCTGTGAATTAACTCCTACTTCTCCTTTACCTTAAAATGTCATTTTTAGGGCCGCGGATTTAGCTCAGTGGCATAGGTGCCTGCCTGGCAAGTGCAAGGTTGTGAGTTCAATCCCCGGTACCTCCAAAAATAAAGTCATTTTTAAACCCTGAACTGAGACTCAAGAGAAGCTGGTCAGAAGGATAGGAGTAGCAAGTCCAAAGAAATATTAATGCGTTTCAGTAGACAAGCAAGTTCAAATCTCAGCTACTCACTGCAACAGAGGCTCTTTCAGTTGTTTCTCATAAGAAAGTCATCTTGAGTCCAGTGCTCCTGGCGGGGGAAAAGGAAATCATAGGATCCCAGGATGTGTATTTTCTCTCTAACATATACACACACTCACACACACCACACCACACCACTCATTTCTGTAGGGAGAAAAGGATAGCAAATAATTAACAACAATGTACTGTACCACGGATGTAGGCATTTTCTGAATTTTTAAATTAGATGTAATGAAAGCCTTCTTTTTCTCCCACCTCAGAAGCTTCTTTCAGAAGAACAAAGAGTAGACTATGTCCAAGTAGATGAGCAGAAGACCCAGGCTCTCCAGAATACTAAGCAGGAGTGGACAGATGAGAGGCAATCCAAAGTATGAGAGGTAAGCAGTTTGGCACTGTGAAATATAGAAGCCTGGGGCTCAATCTGCAGATTTTTTTCCGCACTAAAATTGCTGATGGTCAACATAGGTCAAAATCAAGGAACATATGTCATTGGTTTAGGTAAGAACTCTTAGGAAAGAGGACCACTTTATGCATTGAACAGAGAAAAAAAGGGGGCAGTTTCCTTCCAGAGAGGGATCTCAGTAATCCAGTTCCTGCCCTCCCAGTCCCACCTTTGGAGCCTCAAGGATGCTCGCAGTTGGCTCCACAGTCTCAAAAGGGAGAAATGGAGGATTCTACAGCCACAGACAGCTGTGTAAAAGATGCAATTCATCCAGGCAGGATAAGAACGAGAAAAAGAAGACTTGGGAGACCAATTTCCAAACATTCTGTTAAAATCTCTCAGATAGAGTATTTAGAATAAAGATTGGAGTTGGTATTGGTACCAAGAGGATGGAATCGTTTGCCTCCAATACCTGAAATTCTGTCCTGTCTCTTGTGTTTTGACTGGTATCATAAGTTGTCCTAGCAAAGGGGTCCTTGGAGACCATGTTGTCACAGCCCTTGAAGGCACGGTTGAGAAGCTCAAGTCTAGTGATGATGGAAGAGCCTACACTTCCTACACCAAAGACTATCAGACCATCATTTTTGTCACCAAAGAGATAAAATTCATCTGGCAGGCAATCAATGCCAGCTCTATGACAAGCGTATCAGATGACACTGGTGGCTTTAATGATGTGTTTTTGGTGGCTATTCTGTTGCACTTGGGATTTTCTCAGAATGCTTTCATATTCATCATATCATGCCAGATTCAGGTCCACAAACCCTAAGAGACAAATGACAGTGTGAGAGACATAATTTCTTGGAGGGTTAAAGGGCCCTACCAAAATGGAGGCCCAAACTGATTCGAACTCCCAGATTGATTGAGAAATAACAAAGGCATACAGTTCTGCTGAGTGCAGATATTTGTTTTTTTTTGTTTGTTTGTTTGTTTTGGTCTTTTTCGTTTTTATCGGTACCAGGGATCCAACTCACGACTGCCTGCTTGCAAGGCAGGCACTTATGCCGCTGAGCTAAATCCCCAGTCCACCCCCCCCCAGATATTTGTTTTTACTTAACAAGGCATTGATGACAGTTTGGCTGTATAATTAATTTTTATCTAATTGTTCCCTAGGGAGCATCCTTGTTTTCTGTGTAAGGCCCATCTCTGCTCGTGTTGGCAAAACATCCTGTCATTAAGATGTTCTGGCTCCTCAGAGTTAGCAGTCTGCCTGCCAAGTCAGCCTGAGCAGACACTGACCCATTGGGTGTTGCAAGGAATGCCTCAATATCATCTCTTTGGAAAAGCTAGGACAGCAGAGACTGGGCTCTTACTTTGATGAACAGAAAATTGAGAGCTAGAGGAGGGAGCCCATTGCCCAAGATCACCCATAGAGCTGAGACACAGTCAAACTTGAGAGTTGTCCAGGCTGCCAATTGCAAGTTCATTCCACTCTTTCACACTGCTTCTGAAGGTTTTGGCAAAATCAATCACTTGGGTAAATCTAGCCATCATTGTCCCTCCCTGTCATAGGAATCTAAGCAGATGCTTTGATATTTGGAAGGTATGCACACCCAAGAAGGGTTTCTCTGTTCAATATTCAACTGAAGCTTTAACACCAGTAGTTAGAATTAGAAATGCCTCTGATAATGAGTCTTAAATCCATGCGGGACTACATAGTCTTCTATGCAGTTAAGATATTTCTCTGTCTGTGAGCTAACTAACACAAAGGAATTTTTACCACCTTGGGAAAGATGTCTCATCCATGGCTATACTATTATAGATGCAATAATAGTATGTAATATGGAGAAACGACCAGGAAAAAATACCAACGAGTTCCATTCTCAGGCTTCCTAGCCAATCTTTCCGTTGCACTTGAGAAATGCCTTGGTCCCGAGAGTGCAAACATTCCCACTCTATAATGGGACATTGTGGTCCAGGAGACCTAGAATGAAGGTCTCAGTTGGACATGGAGTTTTATTTAATACCCCTTCCTGATTCTCCTGAGCACTTGAAGCCAGAATACATATTTGAATGACTAAACAGATACCAGTCCACTATTCTGATCAGCACCATGTCTTATATGTGAGGCTGGATATAATAAGCAGCTCTGTGGCAGTCAGAGGAGTTGCTCTAGGGCTTCAGGATCAAACTGCCCGGAAGGTAAGTAAATACCAAGGTCTTGGTTTTTCAGACCATACAAGAAGTCACTTTGATTTTCAAAGCAGTGGGTTCTGGTGACATCATTTTCTTTGTGTGGCAAAGTAGAGGATAATTGCCAAATACTTTTAAGCTGAGTTTAGGACCTTTGGTGGACCTGGAGTCAGCATGGAGAAAGCTTCCTGCCCCACCATGGCAGGGCCAGATCCATGTCACTACACATAAGCCTGAGCCTGTAGGGAGCTGACTTCTTCCGGTGAGAGTGACCAAGAGTTGCAGAATATCAGGCAAGAAACCAGAGCTGCAGCCTGCTAGTCACCATAAATGGTGATGTCCTCATGTGTGTTCTGAGTTCTGCAGAGTTTACTGGACCTCTTTCCCAGAGATGTGGCCTGAATAGTGTTCTCCCTTTCAATCTTGCACTGCATTTTCCACACTGTAACAGCTAGTGCAGAAAAGTTGTAGCTTCCAAGGAACATGAACCACACAAGATTACAAGCTATAGCTGAAATACCATTTAGTTGGAAGAAAAGAAAAACAATGATTTCCCTTTCTAAAAAACATTTCCAAGAATGTATTTGAGGCATGAAGCAATATACCTGTGAGAGTCGTTTGGGCCACTTTACCCTGGAGCACGGAAGTGCACATGGTGTGTCTCTGCCATGTCTGTGTGGTGGACACCTTCCTGAAAGATTTATGAGTCACTGGAGCAAGAGGGCAATGAAACATAGTCATACATTGTTTTCTGTAGATCATTTTTGTTTTATCTCCAGTGCAGGATGGGACAAGGCTTTCAAGCCTTCAAGTCGGAAAGGTTACCACCCCAAGATGTTGGGAGCTAAGCTTTCCTTGGAAAGGGAGGAGCTCTTGGGTCCAGTACACAGCCCAGCTATGAAGGCACAAAGCAATCCTGTCGGAGTCATTTGGGCCACTTTACCCTGGACCATGGATCAGCTGCATTGCTTCAACAAAGTCTAGACTGAGGACTCCCATCAGGCCTGCCTTTTTCCTCTTAAAGATTTCCTCAGCCTCCATTCATATAATCTCTGGACTCATAGTTGCACTGAGTTTTCACATTCACTTTGCTTTCATTGTTTCATTTTTGGCATTAATAAGTTTTAAGTTCTCTCTTATTTAAATGATGACATCCAGTATAATGAAGGACACATTTAGTAAGCTGAGTGTTTGAAAATAGGCTTCATTACTGCTTTCAAGTACAACAAATTCCCAGGAAGGTGACACACACCTGTAATTCCAGCACTTGGAAGGCTGAAGCAGGAGATCGCTGCGAGTTCAAGGCCAGCGTGGGCTATATAGCAAGACCCTGTCTCACAAAAAAAGAAGAAAAGTACAACAAATCTACCTGGACACATGTGCAGTGGCCTGAGTATTATTTTGCTATATTTGAACAGTGGCTGTAACTAGTACTGCTTCTGCTCAGTCAAACTGCATTGGGCATCTTTCTTCAACTGTTCCATTATTAACTAGCTTTGATAATTGGCAGTAAAATCAACTACTCTCCCTGACACTAGGAATAACATGGCTTTTATCATTATTAACACGAAGAAGCAATAGTCCTCTTTTTTGGGGGGTGGTGAGGTTCATTTTTAAAATTTTTTATAAATTCTAGATATTAGTTCTCTATCAGAAAAGATGGAAAAATATTTTCCCATTCTGTAGGTTGTCTTTTCACTCTGTTGATTGTGTCCTTTATTATGCAGAAGCTTTTTAGTTTGATGTAGTCCTGTGGGCTGATTCTTGGTGTCAGTGCTTGTGCCTATGGCTTCAAGAGTTTTACCTATCTTCCAGCAGATTCAGTGTTTCTTATTTTATATCTAGATCTTTGAGTAATAAAAGAGAATGAAATCATGGCATTTGCAAGAAAATGGATGAACTTGAGCCCATGCAAACGGAAATAAACCAGACATGGAAAGTTAAATTTTGCATGGTTTCTTTTATATGAGAAACCAAAAATGTAAGTAAACAGTAAAACAAAAGAGCGATGGTAAAAAAAACAGGAAGGCAGACTCTTTGGACGTGGGGAAGGGAGTCAAGGGAAAGGAGAAGGGAGAGGGCTAAAGGCATTGCAAATGATCAAGGTATGATATATATGCACCAATTCCCCAAAATGAATGTGAACTATTATGTATCATAAACATATACTAGTAACAAAAAGACCAGTACTTCTAATCTGCCTTTTCCCTCTCTGCTGCCTCACTGCCTCAGGGTCAGTGGCATCTCTAGGTCATGAAGCAAGGTGAGTCAACCAGAGTAGGGCGTCGGGCTTGGAGTGGAGGAAACAGGCTAGAGTCATAGAAAGAAAATAGACCCAGGGTTATTCTGGTGCTGAGAAGCCAAGAGAGGCCACATTAAATCCCGTGTCCCCAGTACTGACAGTGAATACTTTTCCTTGATACATGCACTGCAGCCCAATCCCCAGATCCAAAGAAAAACAAGTTGTCCCACAGGGCTGGCCTGAGAAACAGGGATCTCAAAACCCAAGCCCCAGGATCTTTGAACACCTGGGTTCTTATGATCTAGCCCTGTTATGTTTTTAAGGTTCCAGATTCTTACTTGTCCTTTTCCCCTTTGTGTTAAATTTTGCTCACTTCTTTTGTCACTTCATTATCTTCATTTGGTTCTTATTTTGTCCAGCTGAGAGAGTGTGGTGTTGGTTTAAGCTGCGCCCAACCTAGACAGCAAGCAGAACCCAGACTCAGACCCTGGTGTAGGAGGGCACTTTCGTTTGTGACCGAGGGGGCACTAGAAAGCCACGAGGGTGTGGTGGCCACTCCATCGCAGGGTGCGGGGTCATGGACAGAAGTAACCCTCGCCCCCACTCTGCTACCATGCCCACACCTCATTCCAGGTGCAGGCCGGTGGGACAGGGGGAACCATAAACTTCCCGTTTCCTTGGCTTTCCCAGACCCATTTGGCTTCTGTTCACCCCTCTTGTTTTGCTCTTTGTTTTGTGGTCCAAATCTAATTCATTTTCGGCTTCGTTTGGCTTCATGTAAAAGAACACAGCCAAGCTGATTTGTGGCTGTCTTCAAATTATCTCAATTACTTTGTTCTTACATTGGAGGGTTTGGATTCATTTTTACACACTCATGACAAAAATCAGAGTAGCAGGTACCTACCTCTATTGGGGAAACTGTGATTGATTGGAAAGGCGTAAGAAAGAACTTCCTAAAGTCATGAAATTGTTCCGTATCTCAGTTTGGGTGGTGGCATATGGGTGTATACATATTCGAATTTAATATTTGTACATTCCTGCAAAAGATTATACCTCAACAAACCTGTTATCATGAAGGTGAGCAAAACTCCAGGGACATTATTAAGTTAAAGTAAGAAACAAGACTATAAATATTACAGGCTACAGGAAAACTTTTATTATCTTGGATGCAGAAGATCTTCAGCAGCAAGGCACAAAAAGCAAAAGCAAGAAAATAAATATTTCTTTTGATGATGATGACATTCAGTTCAAATTTAGTGATCACCTGCTGTAGAGCTGGCCCTCAGGTGAGGACTACAGATATGTGGATGTGTGAGATGTCTTTCATTAAGAAGCTTCCTTCCTGGCAGGATGCAGTGTGCACTGCTGGTGCTCCCCTCAGGTTCTCTGGGCCCCCTTCACAGCCTTGATGTGCTCCTGCTGCTGACAGCCCACACCCTTAGGACTCTTTTGCACAGGATATCTCCTCAGGCTCCTGGAGGTGCTTTACCTGCAAAAACACAATGAGTTCCCACTCCCCCTTGGAAGGTGCAACTTTACTAAATCCCAGATCCTCTGCCTCACACTGGGGTAGCCTTGGAGTAGGAATTACATGCCAGAGTTCTCCTGTAGGACCTGGTTGAATCTTACTTCCAAGGTTGTACCCTCATTTGGAAACTCCTCTTTCCCTGCCTACTCTTCCAATTAGGGTTTTGGGGAAAGCCAATTTTAGCACACTGTCCTACTTGCTTTTCTAGAATCTATATACTCCCCATTAAGAGATGCAACCTGCATATCCCATTCTAGAAACTGGGTAGGACTAGGCAGTGGATGCCTTGACTGATGGCACACAGCAGAGGGGACACTGACTTCTGAGACTGGGTAAAACAAGGCGATACAACTTCAGCTGAGGACCAGGGCATTATGTGGTAAGGAAGCAAGAGCCATGTAGACAGGAACCACGGCTCTTCCCTCAGACTCTGATGAGTGGTCCTGCCTGGCAGCCAGCCCCAAATCGCCCACTGTGTGAATGACTTCTTGGATTCCTCCAGCCCATTCTTTTAGCCCTTGGTGCAGTTACTTGAGATGATGCCTCATGGAACAGACATGAGGCTTACCCCCAGTAACTATACAAATTGAATATATACACACAAAGTAAATGATTGTTGAGTAAGCTTCTAGGTTTGGCAATACTTTGTTACATCAAAATATTGATCAGACCACTGACAGAAGACAGATGAGACAGGAAACAGAGAACAAACCAGTTTATTGTTACACTGTACCCTGGAAGGAACCTGACTGGTGTGTTAAGAGAAAAGGCACTGTGAATGTGACTTGCTACCCACTGGTCTGGTGGAGGAAACTGCATGGAGCAGAGTGAGATGAAAACTACCCAGAATTTAACAACACAAGGGATTAGCCATGAGCTGAGGTGATTGTGGCTCGGACCAAAGTGGCAGGAGAAGTGGTAGCGTTTGCCTGGATTCTGGATGGCTTACACAGAAGAGCAGAATTTGCTGAGAAATCAGATGTGGGCCATGAGCGAGAGGGAGGGGTCAAGGGGTAACTGCAGGGTTTGTGCCCCAGGGTGAGGGTCGGGGTGGCCATAGCCCTGCAGAAGAAAGCCTGTGGGTGCAGAGTCCTCTGGGGATGGGGTGGCGTGGAGAGTGGGGGTCTGCAGGAGCACCAGGCCGTCCTGGCTGGGAGGGGAGGCGCCCAGACCTGTGGGAGCTGGAGGTGGGACAGGTGCCAGGGACACACGTGGGAGTGAAGTGGGAAGGCCGCACCACAGCTAAGTGGGCTCCCTGCCACACCAGGCACGGGGAGGGGCAGGAGTGTGGTACGGTGTGAGCCACTCCTTTGAGAGTCGAGCCACAGATGACACAGTCTTGAACTTCAAGAGGGTGTGGTGGGCGGAGGGAGACCCTGCTGAGTGCCAGACCTGGGCAGCTGGCAGGGGGCGGGGGAGGGGGGCGGCAGCCAGCCGTGCCTGTGGAGTCCTGGGGGCCCGGAGTGTGGGGAACCTCTGGCAGCCAGCTCCATCTTGGCTGCTCAGGCCAGGGAACTCAGAACGCAGGACCAGGACAAGAAGACCTGGACAAGGGAGGTGCGGGCGCGTCAGGTGGGCTCAGGAAGGGGGCCACGCACACAGTGCGTCCGAGCCACTCGGGAGGGGCCCATGGCAGCCTGCAGCCGGGAGGGCAGTTCCTAGGCGGAGGCAGCGGGCGCCCCGAGCTGGTGGAGGGGGTGCGGGTCACTTCCTCCTCACTGAGCCGGTGCCCTACACCGACACCAGCAGTATGAAGGAGGAGAGGCTTTTTCAGCTTGCATTTCAGTCCAAAGTCAGTGGGCTCCCAGGCAGCACCAGTCAGCAGGGCAGAAGGGCCTGGCCACTGAGGAGCCGCTCACCATTGGTGGTGGCAGGCAGAGAGGCAAGGGAGGACAGGAGAGCCCCACAGACCCTGCCAGGCCACACCCGGTGACCACGCCTCCCATCAGACCTCCTCCTAACAGCAAGCCAGCTGTGAGCCCCATCTGTCAGCTCCAGAGGCCCTGTGTGGGGCCCAGAGCCTGCTGGAGACCCCTAGATGTGAACTCTAACGGTGGTTTGTGCTGAGGCCAGATTGCAGCCAGGAGCACAGGCAGGGGCTGTGGGTTAGGGTTAGTGAGTCATAGGTCAGCTTTACTTTGTGCAGCAAGAAACATTTGAGTACAATTCTCAGCCAGCGACAAGGAAACAAACATGCGGCCTCTGAGCACCTTAACTCCTGAAGGGTGAAACAACGAGGGCACAGAAGGCCCAAGGAAGTGTGTGCGCTGTGGCGTGGCACTCCTGGGCTTCAGCCTCCCTCTCCTGCTAGGATGAACGGGGATCGGCAGCACGCATGCGCTCCATGTTCTGCAAGACTCTGGAAAGCTGGCTCAGGAAGGGGGCGAACACTGCCTGGAGGCCGCCTGCGTCCAGGGCGACCCATCTCCTGGGAGAGAGAGGGGAAACTGCTCCAGGTCAGGACTCTCAGCCCTGTCAGGGACCCCGCCCTGTGCATCAACCTCTCCCACTACACTCAGCGCCCCTCACGTGCAGGGCCCCCCAAGCGCAGTGCCCCCTGCACTCAGCTCCACCCACAATCAGTGCCTGCCATGTTCAGCGGCCACCATGAGCAGTGCCCCCTGCATTCAGCGCCCTAAACACCCAGTGCTCCACGTGCTGGCCGCTCTCTGCGCCCTGCGGCCTCACACAGGCAGGAAGCCGCGGTCCACCATCATCAGGCTATGGTGCTCCTCAGAGGGTGTCCACGTGCTGGCCGCCCTCTGCACCCTGCAGCCTCACACAGGCAGGAAGCCGCGGTCCACCATCATCCGGCTATGGTGCTCCTCAGAGGGTGTCAGGAACCTTCGCGTGATCTCCGCTAATGTGGGGAACAGAAAGGCACCCTGAGGGTGCTGAGGAGCCAGGTTAAGGCGTGATGCCCTATCTACCGACTGGGCCCTGCCCACCATGCCCTCGGTCATGACCTGTCCCGTGAGGTCCAGTCCAGTCCCGGGCAGCTCTCGGGCTGTCCCCACCCTACCCGGATCCCCTCCCTTGTCCCTTTTGCCCAGGACCCTAGCCCTGCTCCTGTCCCCCGCAGCCACCATGGGCCCTGTGCGGCTACAGCCCTGGCCCCAACCTCCCCTCTGCTGCCCTATGACCCTGTTCCCTCCGACGTTCCAGGCCATAGTGACCGCTTCCCAAAGGATACAGCACATACACATGCAACCCCAGCCTTCAGACCACAAGGCCAGAATGCCCGCAGGTCCACGGCCCGGGAGGCATCTGCACAACACACCTGACTACAGGAGCACAGGCGCCTCCTTCTCCAGCCCCAGTGACTACACCTGCACCACTCGGGTGTCCAGCGCCATCCTGGTCACCTCCGTGGCCCTCCGCACCACCAGCACAACCGTCAGAGGCCTGCATGGCTGTCGGGCCTCTTCTCTCGGTGCCCTCCTGGATCCAGAACTCCTGGCACAGGCTCCTGCTGAGGAAGGAGGAGTCTGCAAAGCTCCGCCCCTTCCCCCCACCCCCCCAACACACCGGGAGAAATCTGTGGCGCCTTTGCAAACATGCCCACACCTAGGAGATGCCTGCCAAGCCAGATGGTATGGTGGCCTGCAAGCCTCTTGTGTTGCCAGGCACCCTGCTGGGCCTTGCCTTGTACCAATGGATCCCTAACCATCAGGTCTCCTTCAGGGTCACCCAGCCCTAAGTCCCAACGACTCCTTTCTGCTACAGGGGCACTGAATGTGTCCAGAGGCAGGACTCTGTACCAGGGAAGTCTGGGGACCCAACACAGCCCTGGGGCGGGACTGGGGACATTCCTTGCCTGAGACCTGGACACCTCGGTAAGCTGCTGGACCCTCGACTCCCACTGGGGAAGCCCGGCTGTGGGCGCTGTGCTGGCAGAATCCCTGACGCTCCCGTAGCTCCTGAAACCCTCCCGCCCACCCCACCCCCACCGAATTCTGGAGGAGGAGTTGGCTCTGGGCAAGCCCAGGCTGACCCAGCTGAGTCCCCAGCCCAGTCCCAGGAGCTCCTGGGCCGGGAACCATGCGCTGTCTGGGGTGCTGCTCCCTAGCGGGGCTCACACTGGGGGTGTGCTCAGGACGCCCAGAGAGAAAGCCCTCCAGAGGCCAGCAGCTCTCCATGACCTCCAAGGGATCAGCAGGCCCACACATCTCGAACCCTTTGGTGTAAAGCTGGGCCCTTCAAAAGTCCGCATCAGGGGGACCCGTGCCAGCCTCGTCCCCTTCTTCTAAGGGAGAACACTATTCGGGCCACATCTCTGGGAAAGGGGTCCAGTAAACTCTGCAGAACTCGGAACACACCATCATCCACACCCAGGTAAGAGATGAAGCTAAGCTGGCCTCAGGTCACCTAGAAGGTGGCTAGGACAATTTGAAGGGAATCAGCTGCAGGGCAATGAGAGACTGGCAGGCTGTGGAGAGAAGACAGGAGAAGGGAGAACGCGGGCAGTGAGGGAACAGTGAGGCTGGTCAGGGCAAGCTCGGGCTGACGCTGCAGGACTGTGCTGCAAATGCAACCAACCTCGCACGGGAAGCACTAGAAGAAAACCGCGTCTCTACTAAACATGTACGGGGTACACGATAGAAGGACAAAATGCCATAGCGCTTACACTGCATTAAAATTGTAAGTAATCTAGAGATTCCTAAAACTATTTGCAGAGGGGGCATGCCAATGCTACATTTGGTGCAAGGGCTCTGAGTTCATGGCGGTTCAGGTTCAGGGACCTGATCCCAAGCCTGGAGTAGCTCCCCGTGGATGCTGAGTCATGACTGTATTGGTTTGAAGCCCAGAAATTCAAGAACATCCTGAGTATCTGGCAAAGAGTTCCTTATTTAACTATCACTCTCAAATTTGTTCACCTGGGCCCCATCGTTTCATAGTCAAAATTGTTAAACATTGTGACCAACGTGACAGAAACATATCTTTGTCACGTGCCAAACAAGTCTTTTCTGACTGAGACACATGAAGGCTGTGACTGGCAGTGCTTAGGCCAGGACTGGCAGTGTGGAGGGCACTATTTAACCAGCACCTCCCATGGGTGGGGCTTTTGTGCTCATATGTGAGTAGTCGGAAGGAACAGAAGAAAAACATCTAATGTAACCCAATGAATCACTGAAGCGAGCTACCAGCTGCCCGCTGGAGAGACAGCTTTCAAGGAAGGTCCAGCACTGTTGCAGAATTTGGAAAAGACCGCTTTGCAGAAGCAGCTCAAAGCCACAGACACAAAGGGAGCTGTGTGGCGTCAGCCCCCTGGTGTCTAGCCTTGGCCCTGAGACTCGGTGACTTCAGGGAGTGCCCAGGACAACAGTGATCACCGCATCAAGCAGAGGTGCCAATTAGAAGAACTTTCCCGGGAAAAATTCAGCCTCTAGTGAATAGTACCGAATAACTACAACTTCTGCAAAGTAGTTCACTTGGGAACTAATTAGAAGTTTTTCTCCACAAGTAATGAATCACTTTCTTAACTGTTCTGTTGACAAATGTAATACATGCTAACTGTAATCACACACACACACACACACACACACACACACACACACACACGAGTTTGGAAAGGAAAAGCCAGATGATTTCACACACATCTGTCATCACACGACTCAGAGGGTGGAGGCAGGAGGATCCCAGTGAGTTCAAGGCCAACCTGGGCTACAAAGTGACTTCAAGGCCAGCCAAAAGTGCATAGTGGAGGAACAAAGAAAGAAAGTAAAACTCAACTGCTATTTCATCATTAAAAGTAACCACACTGAAAGTGTGGCATATTTGTGGATAAATAAGCCAATTCCTGCTTACTACTTTAAACAACGATTGGAACGTGATACCCAAGGCATGTTTTTGGTTATCATCATTCTATTGTTAGTGGTTTAGGAAAGACTTCAGCTATCCAGATGGCCAAATAAGTTCCCGGAAATTTTCTTTCAGTATGTTTGGTTTGATCCTACATATTTCGTGAACACGTTGTAAACCATTCATATACAAAGAACCCTTCCTGTGTATAGTAGTCCTTTAGACACTTCTTTCATGCTTCTACTGAGATACACAACAAGAGCTGAACAAGTCCGTGTTGATCGCCCATCCTGTTTCGATTCACTCAACAGTGATTATTCGCATCTCAAACTTACCCAAGAGCGGCTGTTCCGGACACACCCCTGGGTGGGCACCACCAGGAAGCTGCACTCCTGACTGCACGCCCGGGCCTGGAGAGTATGGGGCTGGGCTTGGCCACAGCCACTTCCTCCCCAAGAACCCGGTTGGGGGGCATTGGTTGGAGGCAGGGACCATGGGCCAGCACAGCGCCCAAGGCCTGGCTCCCCCTGTGGGCGTTACAGGTCCAGCAGCTCCAAGAGGCGTCCAGATCCCAGACAGGGCCTCTTCCCCACCACGCCCAGCCCCGTCCCGTCCTGCACAGTCCAGCACCAGGCATTCACACAAGAAACGGCTTTGATGCTCCTAACCTGCCAGGCCTTGTCCTGTGCCATCCCACCCAGCGGCTCCGGAGGGCCCCATAGATTTTGCCACTACAGAGCATGACCTCTGGAACTCCTCAGTGCCCGGTAACCCAAGGGCATCTCTGGACCCAAGGGCTGAGCCAGCTTGGAGGGGACCCCACGCCTGAAGGTCCATTGCGCATGGGCACTGGGCGTGGGGGGGGGCGTTCTGGACGGGGCTCTGTGAGGAAAGCCCCGTTGCCTGGCAACCAAAGAGCAGTTTAGGCCTGAAGGCCAGTTTGGCGGGAAATCCGCTCGCGCGCGCATGAGCGCACGCACACGTACGCACGCACACACGCACACATACACGAGAGCCACCTTGCGCAGGCGCTATAGGCATCACCAGGTGCATTGTGGGCGGTGAAAGGGGCGGAGCTTCACAGAGGCCTACTTGATCCGGTATAAATAATCCAGGCAGCGTCTGAGGAAAAAGGTCCGGCAGCCATGCAGTCCTCTGGCGGTGCTGAGGGCGGAGCAGACGGCCACAGGAGTGACCAGGGTGGCGCAGGTGTCTCCGGGGACGAGGGAGCCTACGCTGCAACCATTTTGCGGATCGTCCAGATACCCCATGGCCCGTGGCCCTTTGGGGACATTGTGCTCTTGGTCAGCAGGACAGGGACCGGTCTACATGAATTGTATCCTTCAGGACGGGGCCTTGGTTGGGGGACGGGGAGGCGTGGGGAGCGGAGCCAGAGACGCGCAAGACCCACGGTGGACGCGGGGACAGGAGAGGGGATGGGGTCCCGGGCGGAGGGGCCGCGTGGACAGGCACAGCCCGGGCGAAGGGGGCGAGGGAGGGGAGCCACGTGGGTGAGCACAGCCTGAGAGCTCCCGGGCCTGGACTGGACCGGACAGATCGGAACTGGACAGGAGGGGACAGAGGACCTGGCGGGCCGGGAGTGGACAGTAGCGCATCAGGCCTTAACCTCTCACCACAGCAAGGTCAGGGTGCCTTTCTGGTCCTCCCTGGAGGCTGAGGTCAGCCTAAGGTACCTGGCTGATTTCGGGGAGAGCCCTGACCTTCACCGGGTGCTCACCAGGGACCGCAGCGTCCTGACTGTGTGAGGCCGCGGGGCACGGTGGGCGCAGATGGCGGTGGGGGGGGGATGAGTTTGCGGTCTCTCTGAGTGCAGGAGGTGCTGAGTGTGGGCAGTGCAGAATGTCGGGGTCCCTGAGTATGGAGGAAGCTGAATTTGGGGGTGCTGACCAGGCTCCGAGTCCTGACCCGGAGCGATTGTCCCTTGTCTCGCAGGAGATGGGTCGCCCAGGACCGTGGCCACCTCCAGATAGTGTTCACCCAGTTCCTGGAGGAACTTGCCCTGCTCTTGCGGATCCTGCAGCGCTTGAAGCCCTTGTTTCCGTCCTCTTCTCTTCTGGCAAAAGGGGGCTGAAGCCCATACCACATTGAGCGTGTGGCACTGAAAAAAATAAAGCTGAGCAACCTTTCCGCTCCTGAGTTTGTTTCAGCTAACGCCTCTCCTTGGTTTCTGGCTTTTGTCCTCTGAGGTCTTGGGCGGCTTCCCCTGGGGGACACACACTTAGGGATGGAGGTAGAGGAGGAGCTAGTAAAGGTAACAGCTGGTGGCCATAAGTAGCACACGGGACTGGAGCATTCTCAGCCCATGGACCTGAGGTCAGAGGGGCGAGCATGCCATGCTGCTGGGAGGGGAGCTGGCTTCCATGCCCACTCTTCCTGCCGGCCTCAAAGCAAGGCAGGAGCTACACGCTCCAGGAGCATTGTGAGCATCCTGGCCAGTGCCAATGGCCAGTGCTCTCCTCAAAGACACCCTGCACTGGGGCCATGCACTCCAGGGGGCTGACGACATTGTGGCATGGTCCCTGACCCCAGGGATGTTGCCCAAAGCTTCCTGCCCCATTCAGGAAGATGCCCTTGGTGGGAGGGCAGCTTAGGAAGCGGAAGCCCCCTCCTCACTATTTGTACCTCCCTTGGCTGAGGCTGGATGGGAGGCTCATGATAAGAGGTGTCTCTCTCCAGGGCACTGGGGAGCAAGGGCTCCTTGGCTGAGCTGAGAGGAGGCTCCCAGTCCTCTCCTGCAGAGCCCAGAGGCCCCAGCCACCTAGGTCGTACCCCTTCCGAGAGAACTGCTGCTCAGTGCTCTTGGTTCCAGTGGCTCACCTGTGGAGAATTTTACAAAGTTTTTGTACAAACAACAACCAGAACAACCTATTCTTAAAGGGACCGTGGTGTTTATTTGGGGCAGAGAATGACCTTGGAATGGGAACACGCTTACAGTAATGAACCCGGAGCAAGCTGAGGAGCCTGAATCCAGCGGAAGTTTTCACGGTAAAAATGGGGAGGACTGGATTATAGATTCAGCTGCCGGTGAATGTCCTTGAAGAAACATTGCTCCCTTCTATCAGGTTGTGGTGGCCTTTGTGCCAGGTTGTGTTTCTGTAAAGTTTCATGATGGTTAATAGCAGGCAGATGCACGAGACAACCCTTGTTCAAGCAGTAACAGCCAGCCTTGCTTTTTACATTTTTTTAGAATGATTCTGAGGATCTTACGCTTTAAGTGCCTTCAATACATTTCTTTATTATGGGCTTTGCTGGCCAAGGAAACTACTACTCAGTATAAAATCTTTAAAAACATTATTGACAGTGTACAGTATTAATGTAAAATTTTCTTCTAATGCAAGTTTACTTTGGTGTGGGAAATGGCATGAGTACTCTCTCAAAGGTTCCTGGAGTCCCAGTATCATTTATGAAGTAGCTCATATTTTCCTCAGTCAAGAATGTCAGGCCAGGCATGGTGGTGCAGGCCTGTCATCCCAGCACTCAGGAGGCTGAGGCAAGAGGGTCTTCATGAGTTCGGAGCTAGTCTGGGCTGCAAGGTGAGTTCCAGTATAACTTGAACTGCATAGCAAAACCCTGTCACAAAAAGACAAAAGGACAAAAGAAGAAAAAAAGAGAAAGACAAGAATGTCACATTTAGTGAGACTGTGTCTCAAAATACTGTGTTGCTTACATTGTTCTGATCTGCTTTGTTATGTCCTCTTTTGTCTTAATCTCTTTAAAATAAAATAAAATAAAAATGTGACTGGAGTAGGCGTTTAACTCATGGGAAAGCCATGGGTTCCGTATCCAATACTGGGCAAAGTTGTGTTTAGGGAAGTCGAAGCCCTCATCTTGGTGACGCTGGCACACTGTCCTTCCAGGGAAGTTATGCCAGGGACCCGCTTGGCCTCCCTGAGGAAATGAGCCGCAGCACAGTCAGGAAAGTTGAGGACCCTGGGGGAGAGGACAGGGGAGGAAATCCCACAAGCAAGAGGAGAGTGGTTTGGTGTCACTGGATGACAGGGGACTGATCTGTCACATGGCACGTGAAGGCTCATGTCAGGCAGGAGTAGGGGGAGGCAAACTCCTTTCCCCATCACAGGAAATGTGGCTCATTTGCAGGCTGGAATGATAAAGACAGTTGCTTGGTGAATGTTCCTGAAGAAATAGCTCTTTTCCCTGTCAGGTTTTTTTCTTAATAAAAACATTATTGTCAGGCAAAGTGATACATACAACAGCAAAACAGCTGACAGGCAGCAGGGCAGAGGAAGGAGCCCTCAGCAGGGAGGGAGCAGAAAGAGGTAAAGGGGGCTCTGCCGTGGAAGCCTAGAGAGATGGGGAGATAGAGGTGTTCCCCCCCCCCACCCCCAGGCAGTGGGACTCAGTTCATACTGCGTCCTGACCACCTCGGTGCGGGGCAAATGGTGGGAGCCCAGAGACAGGGGGAGGGGGTGTAGGGAACAGAGTGGTTTGGGATAGCCAAGGAGTGGGGCAGGTGTTCACCACAGGCCTGATGCCATACCATGCCGCCTCAGCCATCCGCCTAGATGGGTCAGGTCAGGGGCAGACACCCTCCAGTGCCCCGCCCCCCACCCGGTGTGACATCTGTTTAAAACCAAAAGGGGAAGCTGCTCTTCCCTCTGGCACTCTCTCCCTGCCTCTCCTCCCAGGAAAGCAAGAACTTATATCCCGGTGCTTGCCTCCTGCTGTGGCCCTAAGGTGTTGGCTGCTTCTGACAGAACTGTGGGCCAGTTGGGGTGTCACCTGCACCCAGCCCCTAGATGCTCCCAGGATGCTTAGGCTAGTCTCTCAAGAGGCTGACCCCTGAGGGTTCCCCCAGCCTCACACAGAAACCTGGAGATCCAGTGTCCTGTGAAGTGCTGGAGGAGGAGCTGTAGAGGCCTTTTCTGGCCCTGCCTGGGCTTCTGCTACTATTTGGCCTTCTTCTTTTAAGTGAAAAAAGATAGAGAAACATCAAAAGGAAACAAGCCAAACAACAACATCAAAAGCAAAACAACACCAGCAACAACAAAAAACAACGGTGACACCCGTGTTTCCAAAGAAGGTGACAGATGTTTAACAGTGGTTGCTATATTGCATATGTCTCTATGAAATACTTGCTCAGGATAGCGGATACAGGAATATAACCAAACAACAGGACGGGACAAAACACTGGGTGTCACAAACAAGGCAGAAGGAAATCCCCACAGTTGCTACAATGCATATTGTGATCCTCCAAATAGATGCGTATACTGCCAGCTTTCGGCCTGCAAAGTCAACCAAACAATAGAAGCATTAAGTCATTTTCTTTAGTTGAGTTGCTATCATCTCAGCCTGAGCCGCTGGGAATCAGCCAGTTGCTTGTGGCAGGGGCCGGGGTGGGGGTTGCTCTTCTTGTCTCCCAGCCCACCTGTCAGGCTGGCTGGCTTGGGAAGGTGTGGTTTGGCTTCGGCTTCTTGATTCCCTTCTCATTCTTCATGGCTCTGCTCTGCCCTCTTGAGGTGAGTCCTTGTGTGAGGAAGCTGGGCAGAGGAGTCTTGGAGGGCGGGGTTTCTTTTGAAAGGGAGAGGAAATTCAGGGCTGCAGTAGTGCGTTGGGGAGGCACACTGCCCACCTCCTGATCCCGAGCTATGCTGGTTCTGAAAGAAAAGGACAGTCTCCCCTGGAGAGGGCTGTGAGAGGGCAGTGTTTTTGGTGACCGTTACAGATTCTATCAGGGGTGTTTCCCAAAGTCCTCATGTTCCCACAGCCCGGGCTTTCCTCATGGGGGTGATATTGCTACCTTATTGTTGGGAAGTGGGGTCTAGTTGGCGGAGGGGGGGGGGCAGATTACTAGGGATGTGACCTGGAAGGGTGTGTCTCTCTTCCCAGCACCTCAATTCTCTCTTCTTCCTGGCCAACATAATGTGAGCAGGTTTCCTCTGCCCAGGGCCTTCCACCATACCATTTCTGCCTTGGAGTCAGCCAACTACAGATCCTAACGTGAGCCACAACAAACTTCTCGTCCTTTAAGTTGTGAGTGTCAGGAACTGTGCTTGGACAATGAGAGAAGAAAGAGACTAGAACAGATTTTGGTGCCAAGAGCGAGGTTTTACTTTAGAGGCCTCTGGACCTGGTTTGCAGGAGGGGTTTGGAAAGGTTTGGAGATTCCAGCTGGAGAAGCCTCTAAAGTGCTATGAACTGAGCTCAGTGGGAGATTCTGGTTGGCACTCAGACCAGAATGTGGAGACAAATGCAGATCGTAAAGGCCAGGCTCAGGCAGTTTCAGCGGGGAACAGGAACGCCATGGGCAGTCGGGCGCGAGCCTGTGTGTATTATGCTCTAGCACAAAAAGTGCCTGCATTTTGATAACGTCCAGAGACTTTGAGGGAGACTGAGATTAAGTGCAGCGGACAAATTAATCTGGCAGAAGAAATGTCAAGGCAGCCCATCATTCAAGCTCTGAAATGGATAGTGTTGCGGGCTTTAGCCAGCTGTGTATTGGGAGTCAAAAGCAAACAGCATAGCCCAGTGACTTTAAAAGTCTTGATTGTCGACAGAAAGGTGCTCTCATGTCGGTGGGGCCTCTAAGGGTTTGGTCAAGGAGGGCCTGCTTGCTCAAAAGATTAGCATTAAAAAGAAGCCAGGTAGTTTATGTCAGGAAAGTAGAAAAGATGACTTGATGATATCTGAGAAGTCGGTCACGTCTCATCCTTCACAGGCTAAGAGGTCCAAAAGACTTGTTTTGAGAAGAGAGGCTCAGACAGCCCTTCCCCAAAAGGACCACCCAGGGAACTGGTTTCCCAAGATTCAGTTCATAGTGCTCAGCCATCTAGGCACTGAGAGATCTCTGCAGCCACAGTAAAAGTAACAGTGGGGCCTGGCTACTGTCCCAAAGCTTAGCATCACCCTTGTAGTGCTGCTTTTACAGGCATGTAAAATGCAGTAGTTGTGGGTTCAAGGAGGCTTTCACCCAGCCTTCAGAACACAGCCCAAGAGGCCAAGCAGTGTGCCTCGAAGAAAGTAGTGTGCAAGGCTGTGAGAGTGAAACCAAAAGTGCAGAGAAGACGTTAGGAAGTTGGAGAAACCAGGGACACGGAATGTCTGAGGAAAGCCACAAGAGAGTGAGCAAAGCAGACCCAAGAGCTTGGCCTTGAGAGCCGCAGCTAGCAATCCCCTGTGGGCGGGGCTGCCCAAGTTGGTTTTCACATCTTATTACCACCCATCCCAGGTGCTGGAAATGGAGTTATGGGATTAAACGTTTACCCTGCTGGGTTTCAGTCTTGCCTTGGTCCTGCTCCTTCTTATTTCCCTCTTCCTCCCTGCTGGAGTGGGAATACTTACTGGGTTCCATTGGGTTTTGAATGTGTTTAACTGTCTTTTATATTTCCCGGAGGGGCTCACAGGTAAAAGTTTGGCTTGAGTACCAGAGGAGACTTTGGTCTTGGACTTTTGAGCAATGCTGAAACCGTTAAGACTTGTAACCCTCAGAGATGCCTAAATGCATCTGGCACACTGAGATGGCCATGAGACTTTGAGGGGGCCAGGAGGCAGAATGTTCTGGGATAGATCAAGAATGCCTCCCAAAGGCCTCAGAAGCTCATAGGAGGGCTTTTGGAAGGCACTTGAATCTTGGGAGCGCTGTAGCTGACTTGCAGCTGGGAGGCGGCTTCCTTGGAGGAGGAGGCACCATCCAGAAGGGTGTGTATCTCCCTTCCTGGCTCAGCTTCCTGGCCACCATGAGGTGAGCAGTTTCACCTCGCCCCGCCCCTTCCACCACGCTGTGTCTGCCTTTCAGCTAGTGGGCCAGGGACCCTGAACATGAGCTAAAGAAAACCTCTCCTCCTTTAATTTGTGTAAGGTATGGGGTGTTCTCTAACACGGCTGAGCAGAGAAAAGGGACTAAGGAAGGGACGGAGCCAAGCATCCACAAGGGTGCGGGGTAGAGTGATGCCCTGTGATGAGAGGGTCACACACAATAGGTTTCAGCAGGCTCAGCAAAAGCATTGGGGTGGGACGGGAGCGCTCTGGGGGGGCTGGCTGAGCTAGGGGAAGGATCCTCAGGGCTGGCTGTTCAGCGCTTTGACCTTGGGTTCTGCTTCCCGTCTCAACGTGTGCCCAAGAAATGTCCTTCTCTGCTGCCACCCAGTGAAGCCAGGCTCTTGTGAGACACAGTCACGGGCTAAGAAAGACCTTCCTTGCAGCAGCTGGCAGGTGGGAAGATGGAACTTCAGTCCTAAAAGCAAAACACAGAAAGACACAGAAATGCCACCTTGCTTGGGATTTTCAGGAACCAGGCTTGCAGAGGGATGCTGGGCAGGGATAGCAGACAGCCGGGCCCCAAGATAGTTACCAATTTGTTGGGGGCCGCTTGGCTGATGTGCGCGAGGTGCTGTTCTCTGAAGGTCACCAGATGTCCCAGTTTCTGTAAATCTGGAAAAATTTGTTACTAAATAGCAAGCTTTGTGGGTCTTGTTTTTGTTTCTTTCTCCGGGAATACTCAACCTTGCAGCTATGCACTGAGCTACAAAGGCTTGTTTTCCCAGAAAACAGAGGAAGATGGTGGAAGACACCTTTTACCCTAGGGGAGTTTGTAACGCACTGGGCAGTTTCCATCAGAGGTGTCATCCACAGTGAAGATGGGGTGGGGGGACATGGACGTTACACAGGCATGGGGTCCTCCAGATTTAGTGGGTTGCCAAGTCCACTCAAAGCACTTGAAGCTGGAGGGCTGTTTAGGGTTTGCCTCCGTCACAAATAAGGGTCTTAAACACACATGAATATCTGATTTCATAGGGCCTCATTGTATCTGTTGGGTGGCTGCTACATCCTTGGCTATCATGGATTGTGATGAATTTCATCAAGAGATTTCACAAGATCGATCATTCCTGTATTCCTGTGCTACTCTCCTGGAGCCAAGTCTGGGCTTGGCGATAGCAGCTTCTGCTTCTGAGCAAGGCTGCCACGTCTTTTCTGTCCCTTCGTGTCGGAAGGGACTGTCCAGCACACCCGCCTGGCTAATTTCCAGTTCATGCTGTATGTCCTCCACCTCTACTCTCTTGGGGACATTTTGGGTGGCACTAGGGATCCCACCCAGCGCCTTGGTGCCGAACTCTACCTCCAGCCCTATTTTTAAGTATATAGTTCACAACCTGGTCTTGCCTAGTCAGGCATTATCCAGGCTGTGCTCAAATTCCCAATTCTGCTACCTCAGTCTCCCAGATGCTGCTGGCATTACAGCTGTGTGCCACCATGACTGAACAAAGGCACGTGTCTTATGTCGATTGACTCCTACTGTGGTTAACGTTGACATCCGTGGGGCTGCTGGGGGCCGGCCTACTAGTGTGACTGGGAGAGGACAAAAGGGAAGGTAGTGCTCTGGGTGCAGGTGGAGGCGGGCACTGCCTGGGAGCCTCTTCAGGGCACACCAAGGCGAAGGGAGGTGAAGGGACGCGGCCGGGCCCGGTGAGTGGCGAGGCCCTCCCAACGACGAGATCGTTATTCAGAGCCCACACGGAACAGGGCGCTGAGCACAGCAAAGAGCAAACAGAAGAAGCACAGCCTGTGGTGTCTGGGAATCCCTATTTTGCTCTAAAAGTTACGAGATTGGAAGCGGGTGGAGGAGAGGCAGCGTCAGAAGACTCCGCTCTCAGGAAGGACGCCTTCAGCCCCGGCACCTCCTCGTCTTCTTGCCCATGGAGGCGTCTTCATGTTCTCGCCGTCTTTGTCCTGTCTGCCTTTTCTCGCCTTTGCAGCCAGGAGCGCTGCGCTGTACATATTTACACCACGTTTCTGCTGACTGCTGTGGGTCACGGCTCTCTCTGGATCTCTCCTCTCTTCTCCCTTCCCTTCCCCTGCAGTGCGTTTCCGCCCCTCGCCCTCTTCCTCACTCCCATCTCTGCTGTCTCCCGGTTTCTTCGTGCCACCTTGGCGAGGAGGTGCTCAGCGCTAAGGGAAGAGGTGGCTGGAGGGACTTCTCAGGGTTGGGTCCTCTGGGTACCTAACTGGATGTCCATTTGTGGCGCGGTGCGCTGTGTCTGCCTCTGTCGAGTCTCGCTCTCTGCAGGGCGTGTGGACACACAGGGTCATCCCCCAGGTGAAGATGGCAGGCACCTCCGGTCCAACCAAGAGCCACCGCTTTGTTACCAGGGGCGGGAAGGAGGCCAGGAGGCAAACACCCGGGGGCTGGGGCAGTAGAGGGCCCGGCTGCTGGGATGGACCCCAACAGCGGAAGGCTCCTCTCTGCTTGTTGCAGATGCTCATCAGAAGGGGGCAGGGCAGACAGTGGGCCTGGGCCACCATTCTGCTTCTCCCCTTCAATGCCACACTGAGTCCCTGCTTCCCTCTCCAGGACGGCTCAACGCATGACAGAGTCACATGTTGCGGAAGGAGCCGGCGTCCCGGGCACATCCCCAGGGTGGGCACCGCCAGGTAGCCGCAACCCCCTCAGGAGCTGGGGGAGGGTGGTCTGGGCTGGGGCTGGACTTGGCAGGAGCCATCTCTTCCTCCAGATCTCAGTGGGAGGGGAGGGGCGTGGTTAGGGGCAGGGGTGGTGGTCGAGGGGTGGGAGAGTGGTTGGGGACTGGGGTGATGGGCCAGCACGGCGCCAAAGGCCCGGCTGCCTCTGTGGGCATCGCGGGTCCCGTGGCTGCCCAAGGTGTCCTGGTCCCAGGCAGGACTTGTCCCCCTGACACGCCTCACTTGGCCCCAGGGCTCTGCAGGGCCCCACAGACTTCCTTGGCATAGGGCCGGGTACCTGGACCCCGTTAGTGTCCCTGAGAAGTAAGGGGGTCTCTGGGACTCGGGGCTGGGCCAGCTTGTAAGGGACCAGACTGGGGGTTCATTGATGCAAGCAAGGGCAGCATGTTGCCTGGCAACACAAGAGGCGTGCAGGCGGCCAGACCAGCTGGCTTGGCGGGAAACACCAAGGTGTGAGCGTGCTTGCGCAGGCGCCACAGCTTTCTCGCGGTGCATTGTGGGTGGGAAGGGGCGGAGCTGCGCGGACTCCTTCAGCAGGAGCTTGAGGCAAGAGGTTGAGGTTGAGGTGGGCACTGAGGAGAAGAGGCCAGACAGCCATGCAGGCCCCTGGAGGTGGTGTGGGTGGTGCTGAGGGCCTCGGAAGTGACCATGGTGGCCCCAGAATCCATGACGACCAGGGTGGTGCTGGACACCAGGGTGGCTTGGGCCCAGAAGGTACCAGTGGCCCCGCAAGTGCCAGTGCCGGAGTCACTGTTCCTGTGGTACAAATACCGTATGCCACACAGCCCGGTGGGCAGACTGTGGTCGTGGTCAGTTGGCCAGGAATGCAGCTGCACGAACTGTATCCTTCAGGACGTGGCGCAGTGGCCGGGCCTGGGGGCGCAGGCAGGCATCGGGAGCCATGTCGGGAGCGGGGCTGGGACTCGGTGAGGGCAGGAGGCAGGGAGGAAGGCAGGAGAGGCGAGGCAGGGCCCAGGGCCCAGGCCGGAACAGCGTGGGGCCCAGGTGGCCTACGGGGGGCAGGAGCGAGCTTGGGGTGCTGGGCGAAGAGGGGCAGGGATGGGAGCCGGCTGGGGAGGGGACAGCATGGGACAGGACTGGACGGGACTGGACGGAACGCGACAGTGTCTGGCGGCCCTGGCCCTGTTGGTACAGCATCACGTCTTAACTTAGTTCCATTGGGAACTTCAAGGTGGTTTTCCCATCTTCTGTGGAGGCTGAAGTGGCGCGAAGATCCCTGGCTGCTTTTCAGGAATTCCCGGATGTTCACAGGGAGCTCACCATGAATGGCAATTTCTTGAATGTGTCAGTGCTAAAGGCCTGGGGTTCTGGGGGTGTGGCCACGACCGCAGGGAGGAGATTTTAATGGACTCCAGGAGGTGCCTAAGTGTTAGGGCCACACTGGGTGTGGCGACGCTTGCCAGATCACAGTTCTGACTGTTGACTGGAGTTTCCTTTTCTCTCACTTTCAGGAGATGGATTGCCCAAGACCCTGGCCGCCTCCAGACAGTGTTAACCTCCTTCCTTGAGGACCTTTCCCTCATCTTCCAGGTCATGCAAGACCTGGGACCCCCAGGACCTCGGACGTCTGAGTAGGAAAAAAGGTCTAAAACCCATGTGCTACATGCCACATGCCAGAGCGTGCATCCTTCCCTAGGCCCTAAGTTCTTGGATTGCCATGTTCTCCTTAGATCCTAACTTTTTCTGCCTTCACTGCTTACTCATTGGGTGCTCGGGGCCCACTTGTGTTTCATGGTTGGTGGGAGACATAATTAAATGTTTGCATAAAATAAATCAAATGTAACTGAGCCACGGTTCCATGCCTGAGTCTTTCAGCTACATACAGCATGTCCCTATTTTCACTGTTTGTCCTCTGAGGACAGATGTCAGCTTCCCATGAGGGACATCTGTTTACAGATACAGATGGAGGTGAAGTTAGGGAATGCAACAACAGGTGAATATTCATAATGCAGGGGACTGAACATACCCACCCATGGGCACAAGGTCAGAGTGCAAAGCTGTTGAACTTCTGGAGTGGGGAACTAGGTCATGTCACCTTCTCCCCCTGCACACCCTAAAGCAAAGCTCTGGAAGGCAGCCTACACCTACTGTCTCTCCCTGTGACACCCTATAGGGGGCTCAGTCACCAGGGACCCAGGCTGGTGTGTCCCCTTCCCATGACCCTGTCGAGAGGCCGCCTCAGGGACCAGGAGTCCCCTCCTGGGTCCAGGATGGTGAGGAGATGGGGAGAAGAGGCTCCTGTTGGATCCCTCCTTCTCTGCAGAGCACCAGGTCCCCAGCCCAGAAGGACTCTTCCCTCCCAGCTCTTCCCCAATCTGCTCTCGATCATCCACGACACAGCCCCTGCCTGTGCTCCTGGCTGTAGTCTCTGCCCTCTGAACAAGGAGTTAAAAGCCTGGTGAAAACAGCAGTCAGAGGGAGAGCTTCCTTACCTTCCTGTCCTGGAGTTTGTTAGGCCAAAGACTAGCCTTGCTGTAAGAATTTGCCTGCCACAGTGAACTAGAAGTACAGCCAAAGTGGTTGGGGCAAAGGAGGTTTCAAAGGTAGAAAGCAGAAGGACTGCAGTCTCCATCTTGAGACCCCCTCAAGGGTTAAGGGGACAGACAGCTGGGGAGAGGGGTTGGGGAGGGAACCTCACAAGCAGAGGCCGGAGGTTTCTTGGGGAGGGCTGGGAGGGAGGCTCAGGGAGTGCTGAGCCAGGGTGACCTTCCGGAGGGCCGGCGGGGGCTGCAGGTGTACAAAACTGTGGGACGTGTGCATCCCCCCTGTAAGGCAATCGATCTTAACCAATCCATGCTCAGAATCTTGGAGCAGAGGCTTGGTGGGGTGAGGAGCAGAGGCAGAGTGGCAGTGTGGTGGCTCCCAGGATTGCTTTCTGAGGTGGGTTTCCCTGGACTCACAGTCAGGTTTTTTGTTGTTTTGTTCCTTTGTGGGGTTTTTGTTTTTCTGGTACGTGGACTGGAACTCAAGGCCTTGTTCCTGCCAGGCAGGCCCTGTGCCACTGTGCTACTGTGCTCCAGGGTCCAAGAGTCCTCTTTCCCTGGGACCTGTGGACTTTGGCTGCGTGTGCAGAGAGAGTCCAGGGTCCTGATCATGGAAAGGCTCAAGGTTCCCTGGGCCTGTGGGTGGTGTCCACAGGATCGGAGAGAGCGCCTCTGCCCTCAGGAGACCTGACCCTGGCCATCAGCATGTCTAGGTACCAGGCGACATCCTTGGAACCTTTTTCCTGCTCGCCTCTCCACACTTGTGTGTGGCTTCAGAGCACAACTGGCCCCAGTGGCCCACAGGCCATGGCATTGGGCTCTGCCAGGCTCTCCTATCCTGCGGTGTGAAGGAAGTCTCTAGGCCTTCCCCATCTCCAGCCAACAAGTAACGGCAAATCGCCCAGCACACCCCAGTTGCTGAGCCTGTGTGCCAACCCATGTGACACTGCCATTTCCGATGGTGTTGATGTCTTTGGTCATGAATCCCAAAGCACAGCTTCCACTGAGTGAGGCTAGGCCCCACGGGAAGGGCTGGGTGACATTAACCTGGGAAAGAGCCCAGTCGTGAGAACATGGTGACAAAAAATACCACAGATGGTAAGAATAATTATTAGAGCCAAAACACATTGTTATTATCCACTGCACCCACCCCCCCCATACAAACTGTTTATCTTTCTTGATCCTCTTGACTTTGGGGAAGGGCCTGAAGGCTCAAGGAGTCACATTCAGAGAGTAAGGTTGGGGAGGACACGCTGTGGTGTTTTGAGGAGCCTGCCTTTGCCTTGGATGGTGCTTGGTGACAGCATTCACTTCAGTTGGGTCATACCCATTAAATTCCCTCACCAAGCAGACCTTCCAGAAGGGCTCCAGATATTGGCAAGGACAATGGGATGACCGTGTTTGAAGACAGGGGCCAGATTTTGAGAGGGATCCATGGCAAGGTGTCTTTTACTCTAGCACATTTATTGAAACACTCCCCATGTATTGCGGTCACCCTTTGTCCAGGTACATACACAGGAAGAATAACAGCAGAGACACCAATCACTTTTTACAGCAGTATCTGATCATGGCTCGTGACCTACCTTGTCTGTTTGGTTTCTGTTTTATGCCTTGTTTATGTGTGCTTACTGGTCATAGACATTAGTGTGTTTGCTCTGGCAGACTGGTGTGTGCACACAGCATACATACCTTGGTCATTGTCACCTTCTCCTCCCCTTTTTTCCCAGCCTGCCCCTAGTCACACAGGATTTGGCTTTAAGTGCAGCTACGGTGGTGCCTTAGTTCAGAACTCTGTTCTCTCCGTGAGTCTCCTCTCAAACTGAATTGGACAAGAACCAAATCCGATTTCCCCTAAGGTCAACATTGAACCTAACCCCTGAATTTTAGTTTGTGCTCCTACTATATTTCGGTCCTACCCGTCTCCCCGATTACCGGCCCTTTTACTCTCCTCTTCGTGTGTAACGGTCTGCTGTATTACTGACTTTTTTAGATACTGCCTGTGACAGCTATGAGTTTGGGTTCTTTCACTCCACATGATAAGCTCCAGATTCACCCTCGTTCCTGCATATGACCAAATTTCCTTCTGCTTACGGCCAAATAACGCGCCACTGTGGCTGTATACCACGATGCCACGTTTTCTGTATCCTTTCAGCTGCTGGTGGGCATCTAGTCTGGGTCCATGTCTTGGCTATCATGACTTGTGCCACCATACATAGGGCTCTGCAAGTACCCTTCAGTGTCTCAGCTTTAGTTGCATCGGGCATGCCAGGGAGTGGTCGCTTGGTGGCAGCAGCTCTGTGCGTGGTGCTTACATAATGCTATCTGAGCTTCTTTATCTCTGTGTTAAGGAGAGAGATCTACTTGTTCATTTCAAAGTCATCATGAGTTTGAAGTTCCAGAGAACAGAAGAAATATTTCAAGATAGACCAAAACACCATGGGGGATAGGAAATTGCCATTTCCATTAAGGACAAGTCACAAGCATTGCTACCCCTGTGATGATCTGGAGTAATCATAGGTCAGGAAAATGCTACACTTCAGTTAGGGAAAATGAAGTTTTGTATTGGGGATTTCATGAGCCTGAACAGTTGCTAAATCTGTACTGCATGGAACAGCAGTGACAATAGGGCACATCCTTGTCTTGTTCCTGATGTCAAAGGGAAAGTTTCAGTGTTCAGCTTCTCTCCACAGATGGTTGTTCTTAGTTTGCCGCGGATGGCCTTTCTCAGACTGACATAGTCTTTCTCTACTCTCTTCAGGTTCCATTTTGCATCATGAATGGCTGCTGACTTTTGTCACATCCTTTTTCTGTGTCTATTGAGACAGCCATGTGATTTCTGTCCTTCCTTCTATTTATGAGGTGTGTTGCATGGAATGATTTCTGTATGTTGAACTATAAAATAATTAAGAACAGAAAAATGATAGTGATTGTTTAGGTAGCCTGCAAAAAATGATCCTGGCTTCCTCCCATGCCTGTATTTTTCTTTGCAGAGGAGTTTTGTGGCCTGTTTCTCTGGGAGAATGGTCAAGCCTGGTGCCTGATCTGGAATTCAACCCTTTGGCAACATTTACTGGCCGGGTGACGTTAGCAAACTTGAACCCAAGCAGAGGAATGAGGAGCACTCAAAAATCAGACTTTGCTCTTCGTTGCCACAGGGAAAGCTTCTGTCACCGGATGACCCATCAGAGGACCAGCCTTTTAGAGGAAGAGGGGTTCGAGGAGAGAAGTGACAGTACTCCCAGGCCATCTAGACAGGGCCTAAGGATGTTCTGGATCATCTGGCCCCAGGTAGGTACCCTGCACCAGAAAACAGCCTGGCTAACGCCCACACCCACACCCAAGACCAAAATTAAATGTTGCTCCAAAGCCATGAAGAGTCAGCACAGCTTGCTTTCCAGCAAAAGATGGAGTCAGTCTTTGTGTGTGTAGAGCTCATGCAAGTAAAGTTTCTTTCACAACCGCTGTGAAAACCAAGTCTGCACAACCCGGCTTGATAAAGAAAAATTAAGTTTCCTGCAGAACCATTATATGATGGTATGCAAATTTTAATGGATCCCCCTTAGCACTGCTTTCTATGCACTCCCACCGATAATGTGCTGCTGTCCATTGTTCTCAGGAATTCTGAGATGAGATCATCTACAGGATTCAATATTTGATGCGTTACACACGCAATTAGACATCACTCCCAAGACAACGTGAGGCACTGGAAAACATCAACACTGATCTCACTGACAGAGCCTTTTACCAAATTGAACTCTCAACATCCGCTTTGATGAAAACTGCTTATCAGGCCTGGTTGGGACAATTGCAAGTCCACCTTCTCAGTCTGGCTTCGAATAATGGAAAGAGAGAACCAGAGGCAAAGGTGTGGCAAGGTCACAGGAGTGGTACCTGAGATGTTGCTGGCAGTTCGGGGATGCCCGAGAGGGCAGCAGTGACAGGAGGGTACCTGGATGCTGAAGAAATAACGACACCTATGGGCAGCAAGTGACACAGGAAATGGGTAAGTTAGCTCCATAACTTACATTGAAACCCGTTCTTCCTACTTCAGGACCAAAGGGAAAAAGGGTGAAGCGCATTCTCAGGTCCCAGTGAAACTTAGGCAAAGAGTGGAGCAGAAAGAAAGGAAAGCAAGGGTTTGGTGAGAGCGGGAGCTTGGGGAGGGGGACCTCTGGGAGTTAGGGTCCCACAGGACGTGGGGCGTCAGGGATATTGTCACCACGCGCTCCCTTGCGAGGGTGTGGGCTCTGCTCGCATCTGCGTCCAGGTCTACAGGAGGCATCGGGCGATGAACCCTAGGCCGAGTGTGGTGTGAAGGCATCTGGGAAAGCGGAAGGAGTCCTGGGGAAGATGGCCATGGCTCCAGGCCCTTCCCTGGCTCAGGTGTACCCCAGCCCTGTGGTAGTGGCTGTGTTGGAATGGCAGGATGGGCTGGGTACCTGGCATCCCTACAGTGCCACTGTGTGCAGCTACATTGAGCAGCAGTTTGTCCAGCAGAAGGGTCAGCGCTTTGGGGTGGGCAGCCTGGCACACAGCATCCCCTTAGGCCAGGCTGACCCCTCACTGGCCCCGTACATCATCGACCTCCCCAGCTGGACCCAGTTCCGCCAGGATACCGGCACCATGCGGGCTGTGCGTAAACACCTGTTCTCCCAGCATTCGGCCCCAGGCCAGGGTATCATCTGGGAGTGGCTGGGCGATGATGGCTCCTGGACGGCCTACGAAGCCAATGTCTGTGATTATCTGGAGCAGCACATGGCCAGGGGCATCCAGCTTGTGGACTTGGCTCCCCTGGGGTACAACTACACCGTCAACATGCCACCCACACGCAAACCAACAAAACTTCCAGTTTCTGCCGGAGTGTGCGGCGCCAAGTAGGCCCAAATTATCCAGTGACCACCGTCATTGCTCCACCAGGCCACACAGGAGTCGCCTGCTCTTGCCAACAGTGCCTGCATGGCAGTGGAACTGGCCCTGTGTCAGGCCGCTACCGCCATTCCATGACCAACCTCCCTGCATAGCCCACACCCCAGGCCTCCCACAGGACCACCGTTGTCTTTGGGGCCCACCAGGGCTTCGCCCCATACAACAAACCTTCACTCTCTGGGGCCAGATCTGCACCGAGGCTCAACACCACCAACCCCTGGGCTGGGGCCCCTCCGGCCCTGGGGAACCAGCCCCTCTTCCACTCCAGCCTGTCCCATGTGGGACCACAACTCCTGCCCCCTGGACCGTCCACTTCCAGCGGAGCCAGTGCCTCCCTCCCCAGCGGTCCCTCCAGCAGCCTTGGAAGTGTCCCCACCACTGTGCCCGTGCAGATGCCAAAGCCTAGCAGGGTCCAGCAAGCACTTGCAGGGGGCCCTCCAAAACCAGAGCCAGAACAGGTGATCAGAAACTACACCGAGGAGCTGAAGACCCCTCTGGATGAGGACTGCATGATCTGTATGAAGAAGCTGTCTGTGGTTTCCGGGTACAGTGACATGACTGACAGCAAGACCCTTGGGCCTATGGCCGTGGGCCGCCTCACCAAGTGCAGCCATGCCTTTCACCTGCTGTGCCTGCTGGCCATGTACTGCAACGGGAACAAGGATGGCAGTCTGCAGTGTCCCTCCTGCAAAACCATCTACGGGGAGAAGACTGGCAGCCAGCCCCAGGGGAAGATGGAGGTGTTCAGGTTCCAGGTGTCACTCTCCGGCCACAAGGACTGCGGGACAATACTCATAGTTTACAGCATTGCCCACGGCATCCAGGGCCCTGAACACCCCAACCCTGGGAAGCCATTTACCGCCAGAGGGTTCCCCCGCCAGTGCTACCTCCCAGACAATGCCCAGGGCCGAAAGGTCCTGGAGCTCCTGAAGGTGGCCTGGAAGAGGCGACTCATCTTCACAATCGGGACGTCCAACACCACAGGCGAGACAGACACCGTAGTGTGGAACGAGATTCACCACAAAACGGAGATGGACCGCAACGTGACTGGCCACGGCTAACCTGACCCCAACTACCTGCAGAATGTGCTGGCTGAGCTGGCCACACAGAGAGTGACCGAGGACTGCCTGGAGCAGCAGTGACCCACAGTGCCACTCGGTGTGCCTTTGCTGGCCACCCTGGCCCCTAGGCTGCCCTGAGAGGCTGGAACACAAGTCGAGGGCAGCTCTCAAAGCCAGCTGTGCCCACCTCTCCTGCTCCCCTCAGGCAGGGATCTGCATGGGAGCTGGGCAGCCCTGGGAGGAGGACTTGGGGGGCTTACGATGCAGCTACCTCATCAGGGATGGCCGTGTCCTCGAGGCTGCTCTGGGCCCCAGCACCAGGCCTGGCAGGAGAGGAGCTGGTCCTCCTCAGCCAGGCAGGCACAGGTCCTGGGTCCGCTTCTTATACCTCACATTTTATTTGCAATAAAGGCGCGATAGCCAAAAAAAAAAAAAAAAAAAAAAGGAAAGCAAGAATCAAATGTGTAAGCAAATGACCCTGTGTCCTGCACAGCTCTAGAGGCTATAAGGAAGCGACCCTAGTGCTTCCCAACAGCTCGTTTCATTCAATAGTTCGCCTCCCCAGTGCTTCCTGGAAAGAAACGAAATGGTACAATATCATTCCTGATTACCCCTGACATGCACTGATGGGGAATATTTGCACTTTCATTTCAGAAGCTAAGAACACCGGAAAAGAGAGGGGAGCAGTTTAACTTAAACTTCACGAGAAAGCAGCAAGCTCTGCGAGATCAGCTTCAGTTTACTCAGTGGTAGCTACAACAGCTGCAGCATTGGAGCAGAGCTTCTAGGGCAAGATCCCCCTGGCAGGGCTGAGTTACCTGCTCCTCTCACAGCGCCCCTCCCGGTTTCCCAGGCAAATGCATTTCACATTACTCTGGGAGCCTGCCTAAAGACTAGGACTGCACAATTCTGGCTCAGTGAGGTGTGCAGAGCAAAGAAACAGTTCGGTGGCCGGCGAGAAGCACACTCCAACACTACAGGCTCCTTATTTGCACATCTTAAGATGTCTCAGGAAGAATCGGGATGAGAAATGCCTCTTCTGCCCCCACCCACCATCACGGCATCTGCGAACACTGCCGGGGCTTCCCCCACTTTCCTCTTGCTCTCCCATCTAGAACTGTAAAGGTTGGCGACTCAAGGTTCCTTCACCTTGTGCAAGATTCTTCCCTCCTTGTGGGGAAAGCAAATGTATGAAAAGTGAAACCGCATTCTATCCCAGGCCTAATCTCCTTAGACTGGGTAAATTCCGTTGACATCATGGCGGATGGTGGACAGTCTTTCTTGCTTCACTTCTGTCTTTCTCTGTTTCTTGTCTTATTTTTTTTCTGTCCCCACAGACATACACATACACAAGGTTGCTCTGCCACATTCCAGTCTGCCTTGATGTGCTGCCTTGCGCTAGGCCCTAAAGCAATGGGACCCACTGACAATGGACCGAAATCTCTGAAACCCTGAGCTTAAATAAGTTTTCTTCTTCTCAAGTTTATTATCTCGGACATTTTGTGGCAGTAATGAAAATCTGCCTGAAAAAGTAAGCATCTCTCCAAGCAACACACATTGCCTATTAACTGCCTGTTTACATCATGTTTGGATATAGCCTGTTGACCGAAACAAGGCACGGTCTCCAGTCCCACAGAGTTTACACAGTCTTCCCTGTAGTGCAGTGCTTTAGTAACAGAACACCTGAAAATCACCTTCAAAACCCATCACAGGTGTTGTGAGGATGATGAAAACATACACAAACATAAAATAAGCTACTTGGGTAGAATAAGCAGCTTATTCTGAGAATGTTCTGCAAGACAAGGAAGCACGTTTAATAGGTTTTAATTTGATACATGACCGATGTCTACCAATACAAGTAGTATGTGACGTCTAACATCACATGATCAAAACTGAGCCACTGGCTCCTGCCTTTGTCCTTCTCCTTCTCCCTCTGTCTGTCTTGCACCCTGGGACTGTACATAACCATCTCCCAACAGCAAGAGGTTATTCAGGAGATCTTTTCTGCAGAGGAGGAGGAGAAGGCAGAGGAATCTGTCACTTTAAGTGAGACTAGGTAAAATGCAGGAAGCAGTCCAAAGCTTTGTAGACTATCACCACCCAAATAAGGCAGTAGCACTGTGAGCCACGAATCTCCTGCCCCACAATGCAAGGTCACGTTTCTCCAAAACCCTCAAACGGAGGCAAAAGCAGTGTCATTGGATAGGTTCCCTGCTAAGCTTGCACATAAAGAGAAAGATTCCATTGAGCCCGCCCATAGGCAATAGTGATTGTTAGTAACAGTGAAAGTTGTCCCGCATGATAACCCTCCTCTTCTCCCATCTCCCTCTCCCTCTCTCTGTCTCTATCTCGTTTCCCTCACACCAGCCACGAAGTGCAGGTTAATTTGTTTTCCTTTATAGTTTGCATGTTCTTTATCATTTTGTATTAAATTACAATACTGTGATCAATTCTACATGAATATTTTTGGATGGTAGAACAAATCATCTGCATTCCCACTATTTTTATGGGGAAATTTGCTTTGATGGACAAGTGCTTTGGATTATAAGCATATTTCCAGAATGAATTATGCTCCCAAACCAATCTTTTACTATATACAGAGACCCCCCGCCAAATTTCCACATACCTCGGGAGTTAACCCTACTAACAAAAGTCTGGAAGGTAATGGCCGCACCTCTGACCACCTATTGTAATGGAAGAGGCCAAAAGTAACTTGTATTTATCTCATGATAGTGTCTCAATAAATTTAATATCAAAGAATTTATGCAAGTTTTCTTTTCCCAATGTATACATTTTTTGGCAGACTATATATCCCACCTGTGTGCAAACACAAGGGCATGAATATGGGGGCAGACATGCAGAAAGACCCAATTTGTGCCTGGACAAACATACGCATAGATGGAGGCGTAAGGTAGCTAATGTTTGGCACTCTACTATGGAAATATGTTGGTATTAATTCAGGCACGGGCTTTACGAAATTAGAAGGTGAATGGGAATCCCCAGGGTGTCCTACAACTGGAAAAAGCTTAACCATTTTTTAGAAAAGAGAATCGAAAAAGAACGAAATGGTATACTAGAAAGAAATCCACTCATCAGCGAAGGAGGCCCTAAGGGAAGACTCTTGGAGGAGTAGAGATGTGAGATGTTCAACTCCCAGTGAGTTCCATGAAGCCAGTCAAGCATTACAGGAAAACAGAGCCAACAGCTAGTGGCACACACCTCTAATCTCAGCAACGAGGGCGGCTGGGGGTGGGAGCAAGTGGGTCATCAGGTTGTGCCCACCTGGCTAACTTAGCAACTAAGCTAAACCCTGTCCCAAAATGAGAAGCAAAACTATAAAAATAAGAAAGCATGAGCATTTAGCTCCTTGGGAAGGCCCTGGCTACAACTGCCACTACTGCAAGGCAAAGGAAAAAACAGAAAAAGGGAGTTAGCTGAGAAATTTAAACCAGACAAGACACACGAAAGGAGCACTACAATTTGAGTATATGCCAAAGCATAAAACACACTATTAGCAAACTGTATTCACTGGGCTACCTTAAAGATTGCTACCTTGTGAACCAGGGAAGTCCGTCCCCCTGGTAAAAGGCAGAACGGTTCAACATGAGGATATCTTTTCATGGACTTCCAAGATACATTAAATGTGGAAAATAATGAAACGCATCCTGCTAGAAGTCAAACCAGGAGGGGAAAACACCAACAGCACTCATCACTACAATATAGCTACGTCCATGGCAGGAGGAAGTTTTCCAGCCTGCCTGTGATCTGACCTAAGAGCAGCGCTGGAAACCATGTCAACACTGTCTTCCTGCTGCCTCCAGGACCCCATCCTCCTTTGGCTTGCTCCTGCTCGCTGGCCTTTCTTGCCTCCGTAAGTCTCTTGCTGGGTCTTTCACTTCTGCCCAGAGTCCTCACTGCGGGAGCACCCTAAGCTCAGTCAGTCTCTTGTCATCTTCTCTACCGCATTGGCTTCCTTGCTACCCTCCTGGAATCTCACATGCGTGAATTTGCATTACGTCATCTAAAAGTAGCCATGAAACCATATCCCTCAGCATATCAGAGCCTGTCGATGTCGCTCCCGGCCGGCAGGAAGGACACACGACAAAGTCTGGCAGTGGACAACCTTTTCTTTTATTTTCTCTCCATACAGCCTGCCCTGGGATCGCTCCCAGCCGAAGCCTCCTCTGGTCCGCTCCCCGCGGCTCCTTCCGTGCTTCGCTCCGAAGCCTCTACCGGTCCGCTCTCCGCGGCTCCTTCCGGGCTTCGCTCCAAAGCCTCTACCGGTCCGCTCTCCGCGGCTCCTTCCGGGCTTCGCTCCGAAGCCTCTACCGGTCCGCTCTCCGCGGCTCCTTCCGGGCTTCTACTTCCCCCCAGGGGTGGCACCAGTATATATACGGATACAGTGTCCAATCATGTTAAAGTAAGCAAGGCAAGCTGATTGGCTAACATATTATTGAGCGGGTTGTTTACGCGGTAAGCAGGAAACTAACGTGCTCGATGGGAGGGGTAATCTAACTCAGGCTTTACTCTTTACCACAGGCCGCATGATCGCTATATGCGGCGGCTCGGCAATGTGGTGGCTCCCAACAAGAGCCGTTACATGCTTTGTCTTGCAGATGATAAATTTCTTGGTTCACGTGCATGTCTTTCTCCACAAGCACACACGGGCATTCAAAGTAAGGTACAGAGACTAGATAGTGTTGCCAATCACAACTGTTGTGCTGCACGTGTATTGCGTCAGGGGTGCGGTGGGGGGAGGTTGGGGGGGACAGGAACTGTGCAATTGCGTTCCTGGATGATATAAAAGGAGTCCTGAATAAATGGGGAGAGAAGTCATGCACACACACAGGAAGACTCCGTACTGTCAGACATAGATTCCCTACAGATGGAGTTCCTGTGGCAGATTCAAGCAGATAGCCAGGAGAATACAAGTTCCATTGAAAGTATCCACAGCAGATTAAGCCAAAGTGAGGGCGGGATCTCCGATACAGTGGACAGGTTTGTGAATGCTGATCATGAAAGATTTCTTAAAAATAGCAAGGGACCATGAGAAATCAATCCAGCAGCAGCTAGATGAGGCAAAGAAGAATAACTTAAGGTTGACTGGAGTCAGTGACCAAGCAGCTGATAGTACAAATGATATTAAAATCTGTTATGGCACTCGTTATGGCAGAATACTTCCCTGGTAGAGAAAAATTATTTGATATGCAGATACGTGAGCCATATGGGACTCCAAAAAGCCACAAGCAAAAAATAAAAATAAAAATAAAAATAAAAAAATGAAAAACCTTCAGCCAAGCATATGATAGTCAAGAGTCCAGAAATTCAACACAAGAATAGAATCTTAAAAGCTGCCAGAGAAAGAGAAAAAAAGTTACCTACTAAGGGAAATCCATCAAAATCACAGCTGACTTCTCAGCACAAAACCTCAAGTCCAGGACAGCTTGGA